TGCATACACGTTTATTTTCGGCTCGCTTGCGGGCCGTGTCAGCTGCGGCATGTTAAACAAAGCGAACGAAGAATTCGAGAGTCGAAACAGCCGAATTGACAGGAAAACATTGGCAACATTTATCAAATTCGAAATGGCAGTTGGCATCATCAATAATTGCACTCGGTCTGTCATGTTATTTAAGCGCAGCCCACTAAACTATTGATAGAATATCAACGATTCGCCAAGGATTTTAGCCATCGGGGATATACATCTGTTGTTTGCAGCATCCAGGCTGATTGATGATCCAAACTGACCAAGTTACGAGCACAAATTCCAAACAAATCATTAGCCAAATGTCAAATGCTCGAACATTTGCATTGAGTAATTGTTTTCCCCAATATTCGCATACAACAAACATTTTCACGCCCTCTTTGAATAATATGATTGTGGATTTAATGCAAAAGAAAATTTTATTAAATATTTGTAAACGAAAATTTAGTTAAATAAAAGCTGAATATTTAAGTATTATTATTTTTTTTTTAATTTAATTATTTTTTTTTTTTATATATCCCGCAAAAGCACTCCTACATACATAGAACAGATATAAGCTTTCAAATACTCACGTATGCCTTCCAGTATTCCATCCTCTCTCTCTCTCTCGCTCTCTCTATCTATCTATCTATCATTTGCTGAATGACTCGGCAATTCATTGCTTGCACACCAACAAAAAAACGCATATTTAAATTTGTCAGAATTTTAATAGTTATAAACTTATAGCAAAATAAAATTACACACATCTCATTTCGCACAATTTTCATTAATTTGACCACTTTAGAATATAATTTAATGCCGATCAAGAGATGTAATCGCGCGGCAACTCAATCGAACAAAAGGGCGGACACGCACAGACTAAATCGCCAAATTTCACTCACGCTCGCCCCTGCGCTCACCAACAAAGCACGACTTAGCCAGCAGTCAGCTATAAGAAATTGCACTCAAATAATACACTTGCTCTCTTCGCACATTCTACTTTTGGCTGTGCCATAAGGGGATCCTGAGCGCATGGAATGAGTGACGTCTCCCGCTCTCCAGAGTCACTGCTGCTGCCCATACATTTCACGGGATCAAGCGCAACAACAATAATGACGTGTCAACAGCGCGGGCATAAATTATTGCCCACAAGTGACGGAGCGCCCACCCTCTATCTCTTGCTCTCTCCGTGTGTATGTGTGTGTGCGTTTCTTGCTCTTTATCTAAATGCAGCTGGGACATTTGTGTAGCCAAAAAAAATGATAATCTTTTGACTGATTGTTTTTATGACAAAGATTTTTGTAAGCTTTTTTTTTTTTTAGATGTTTATAAAAGAAGACCTAACAAAATGTTAAAATCTACATGAATGTATCAATAATTCGAATTTAATACGAATTTAAATTGTAATACTTGTATACTATATTTAATAGCTTTCAGAGCAGTCAATATTTTAAATCCCATTGAGAAAGCTCTACATTTGCTATCATAAAATATTTAAGACCATTTTTCGTTTTTTAATTTGACCCATTTCGTGCTGGCTGCATAAACATAAATTGCAAATTAGAGCAAATAAAGTTTTTCCTGTAACAATTTTTTATGCATTTTGTTTGAAAACGAGACCCAATCATCAAAATCCCTCGTCCGTCACATCATTTCTAAACAGGGCCTCGGGCTGAATGCTTTTAATTTGAGTTTCATCTAGTCATAGAGCCATAAACGTGGCCATCTGCTGCACGAATAGAAATAGGGATTTAAGCATATATACATATATAGTATATATATATGTCCAATAAGGTTGCCTGCGGAAAATTTGTCAACTATGCGGCTGGAATAATGTGCGCAACTTTAAAACAAGCGAATTGTGCGAATAAATGGCATAGATAACTTTATGGCCAACAGTGCACTTTGTCTAACCCATCAGCCACACACACACACACATGTGCATAGAGGGAGAGAGAGCGACACATAGTTGATAAAGTAGAGGTCGTTGCGGGGGCCAAATGTAGTTAGCCTTCGGCTTTGGCATGCATTTAACATGGAAAGGCAGCGGGTGGAGGGGAAATGCAAAGAGAAGCAGACAAAGAGAGCGGGCAGCCGGGTAGCTGAATAGCTGTGTGATGCAGGCCAAGCTCGTGATGCCATTGCAATGCGCGCTCTCTTCTTCTTTTTTTTCTTCTTTCGGCATATGCATGTGTGCGTGCGTGTGTGTGTGTGTGGGTGCTGCTCACAGCGGCAGTCGCAGCTACGTGACATGCATAGCTCATTGCTCCTGGCCAGAGAGCATTGGGCAGAAAATATTGCAGTTGTGATATGCTTAAGCTGCCAGTAGCAGCAGAGAGCGAGAAAGCCAAAGAGTGACAGGGAGGGCGAGTGAGATAGCGATCTGTTATCCCGTTGCTTCTTAGCACAGTTGCTAAAGCAAAGTTTTTGAGGTGCTAATGAAAATTGCGCAACTTTTGCGCAAATCACGCTACGCAACTTTTAAGCAGCAGCCGCACAAATGGAAATTCAGCTGCTAATTGTATGCTATGTGGGCGTGGCATATATTGTAGCCTCCTCGCTCCCTCCCATCTTCATTTGTGTTTTGGGCGCATCAACCACCAACAAAAGCGCGAGCTAATTAGGCACCTAGCCTAAAATAATTTGCTGCTCTTTAAAACAATTTAAGCGTGCGACTGCTGATTCGTTAAAGCTAAATGTGTTTCCATTTAGCATCGGGCAATTCATTTTAGATGCTCTGAAGGGAGATGTTTAAGGGAGACTCTGAGAGTAGATTAACAAAATAATATAGAGAGAGGCTGAAAGTCAATTAAAAAAAAAAAAAAAAAAAAAAAAAAAAAAAAAAACTTTAGAGAAGTTTGATCTTTAATCCTCTATTGCAGAAAATTATGAAAAATTTAAGATTGTTAACACGAAAATAATATATGAAATATTTTAATAAAATTAGTTAATTAATAAATAAAAAATAAATTGATAAATAAGTGATTTAAATATTAATATTTTTATTATTTTGTATTATTATTTTCTCATCAATTATTTCCCCCAATAAAAAGATTTACTTGTGATTGTGCTAATAGATATATATAGATAACGCAGCTGCATCGCATATGATAAGTGATATGCTTACCAAGACAATGTCTTCTATGGCTGTAAAGATTCAATGTAAACAATAAAATGCGAAATGCTTTCTGTTTGCTATCACGCATACGCACTGTTGTCTCTAGCGTGTCACGCACGAACAACACGCAACTCTCCAACATTACAATTCGCTATATTTTTTTCTGTATTTTTTTGTTGGGTAACAAGCAAAACCAATTTGCAGTAGCAGCAGGAGCAGCAGGAGTAGCAGCAGGAGCAGCAGTAGCTACGGCAGTTAATTTTAATTACGCACATGGCAGTTAATGTTGCGACACGGCGTCTCAATTTAGACACCTTTTTTGCGAGGCGCTCACAGCCAGAGATCTCACTCTAATGCACAGCTGCAAAAACACAACATAACACACTCACACATACTAGCACACACGCACACGCACGCACACACACTTGTGCACAAATTGCCATTGAATGCGCAGAAGGGCGGCGTTGCCAAAATGAATAAACGACAATGGCTTTTGCGGCCAACTGTGTGTGCGTGTGTGTGTGTGTGAGAGAGAGAGGGTGTGTGTACCCTTTGTATATGTAACCATCCATATATGAGCTGACTGTGCTGAGCTGTGCTGCGCTGGCAGCGTCAATCGTTTCATTTAAAGCGCAGCGCTTCAGGCAGCCAAAGGTAAAAGAACAAAACAAATTAATTTTGTTCAGGTGTGCGGCCAGGTTGCCTGCTATAACTTTGCTCATATATATGTCTATGTGTGTGTGAGTGTGTGGAGTCGGTGTGGGTGTGGGTGTGGGCGTGTGTTTATGACTATGTAGCAAAAGCCTGAAGCACAACTGTTACGCACTCAACACACTCACACACACACACACACACACACACATACACACACGCTCGAGCAAAGTGCACAGATGCGTGTAAGCAAATGGTTTATTGTAGTCCTCCAGGGTTTATTTCAATTTTGTCATAAAGACTGCAAATGCATTAATGTATAAATATATACATGTGCATATATATACACCTATACACATATATGTATATGTATGTACACACTTATAGCAAGCGTGGCTGTTAATGTCTTCCTATAAGCATGAAAATTTGTATATACTTACCATATGATCTATAAACGTATGAGTAAGAGCCTTTCTTTATGGCCTTATGTATGCTTTAGGGATAATGTACTTATGTATATGATATATTAATGCTCCTTTTTTTTTTTTTTTTTTTGTAAAATTGCTGGCATTTGTTATGAGTGCACAGGGAAACTATTTTATGAAGTGATATATGAATCTTGTAGATTATATGTATATGGTTATCATCTGAAAAAGTAGCTTATAATGCACTGAACTTAAGCTGAGAGATCATTTCGTTAAGTATTTTCCTTTCGAGAGGTTGTTTTTGTAATTTACTTAAAGTTCCGAACCTCTCTAAAAATCTAGACCTTTTGAATTTTATTATAATCCAAATTAAATGATATGACTACATTCAAACTTCAGCTAGAGGAAGGTTGTAAGAGTATTCAGGCATGATAATAATATTCTAGTAATTGAATATTACTTTCTTGCCATTCTATCATGATTTTTACAGGGTAACCCAATTTCTTGCAGTTAAGTTTGAGCCCGTTGCTTGGCATTTTCCCGGCAACGCATTATCAACTTATTTAGGCGCCCGAAAAGCCGTTGGATTGGCGCAAAAGTGAAATATGTTTTCCTTTGCACACATTTGGCGCATTAACCAAAAATTACGTTTCTGCGTTTGCTGGCGGATATTAAAGCCAAGTTAGAAGTGCGGCATGCCTGAGCAGAGCAGAGTAGAGCAGCTGCAGCTGCTGCGTAGATGAGTCGAGTCGAGGCTGGAAACAATTATAAACGTATTGAGAGAGAATTCGGGATTGCACTTTATACATATATAATTCATATGAGTTTTATTTAAAAGTTAGTTTCCTCACTTTGCAATTTCTTACAGACTCGTACAATACAGATCTCTTTATATATACATATAGTCATACATAGACTATATATATCTTTGCTTACTTCTTCGCTTTCAATATTGGGCATGTGATTGCGCCTAGCTAACTAACCAATCAATCAATCAATCCATCAATCAACTTGTATATATCATTGAGCTTTACATCGGTTTATAGATATAGATATATATATATGTATATCAGCTCTATGTGTATATATAGTTCAATGTGTTTATAAGAAGATTAACTTTGTATTCCGTTGTTAAATCTGGAATATTTTTAATTAACTGTTGATTATAGATATTTTATCTTTTTTTTTCTTTTTTTTTTTCTCATTTGATAATGTAAAATTGAAGCATAAAATTTTGGAATATTATTTATAAAGTTTTCGTTAGCAAATAAAGAAAGAAATTGATAAGTTTGTATATCTTATTTTTTTTTAACATTTAACGTTCATATTTATGTTACATATTTCATATAGTTGTGTTGCTCAGGTTTCTCTTTCTTCGTCTTCTGCTTGTCATTAAAATCATTTCTAAGAACTTCTCTTCAGTGGAATTTTATTGAGAATTTACTTAAGTGGGCCTTAGCAGAGCTAAAACATATATCAGATAGCGAGTGATGTCAAAGTGAAAAAGTTCAATTCAATTGGAGCCAATGAGAAAGAAAATCGATTCGTAATTATGTTAATTAATTTTGATACCTTGCACTAACTTTAATCTAAATATCACTCGGGTTTTATTTTTTGGTTTTTGGTTTGAATTTTTTGTTATTTGGCTTTTCAGTTGTTTCGACCACAGATTCTACAGACTAAAATTTGTAGCTCCCATTGCCGGGGCGTCGTTGTCCAGCTGGTATTCGATTGAGCTACACTTCCTCGTAGCTGCGACACTTGGGCAACGGGCCGGACCATTTGCCGTCGGGCTGACATTTTGGCCGCTCGGGCGGCCCCGTGGTGTGATCCTCGTTCGTCTGTATCTGTATGAAGCCGGGCCGGCACTGCACGCTCAGATAATCGCCCGCATCGTAGTTGAACTTGAGTGGAGCAATCAGGCCGTTGGGCGGATCGCCCGGATAGGGGCATTGCGATTTGCCTGAGCGAGATCGGAGATTGGAGATTGGAGATCGTAGATCGTTGATCGTAGTGCGGAGATCGAAGATCGAAGCGTATTGGATGCATGGATGATCAATTCGTTTTGGGCATTTAGTTAATTGTGGGGATGATGGTTCGTACATGGAATGAATCGTGAATCGGTATATCGGTTGTTGGTTTTGCGTGATCGGTGATCGGTTTATCGATTAGTTGGTTAACGGTGATCGTGGTATCGATTGGTATCGTTATACAGCGGAAATACAACACAAGTAACATTAATTCATTTGATTTGTGAGTGGTGGCCCACTTTTTGGAAGAGTACGCAAGGTATCGCAGCGTATCTGTGCATTTAATTGGCATTTATCAGTTGTCTACTTACAAAATGGTGGCGAGTGCGACCAGAACCCGTTCTCCGTGCATATGATGCTCGACTCGCCGACCAGAGTGTGGCCATCGTTGCAGCTGAATGTGACCAAAGCACCAACGGTCAAACGCCTCTGGCTCAAGCTGGTGCCCCCAATTCGTCCATTTAGCGGCGCCACTGGCATCACGCACTGAATGACTGCAAGAGAAACAGAAATAAATAAACGAATGAAAGGACAAATGACAAATGACAAATGAAAAGAAATGAATTATTTATTGGACGAATGAAAGTGTAAAACAAACAGAATTCACCGAACAAGGATAATCCATTATGGAGGTGATGACAAATTAATAAAAACAAATGAAATTTACAAGAAAAACATCCATGTTAAGCAATGAAGTAAGATGGCAAATGAAATGTTGAAAAATATTAATGAATATTAAATATTAATGTGCTGACAGGCAGAGCTGAATGGCTGAAAAATTACGAAGGACTGATGTATGAAATATTTATGAACTCATTTCAAAGAACTCATATATGGAATATTTATGAAATAAACTCATAAATATTTAAGAGGAAGGCATTAATTATTTAAAAGGCAATAATGTATCGTGATAAATAATATATAGGTTGATAGATATTGATCGATATCATACACTAGGGCAACGAAATATATAAAGAATATGACTTGACAAAAAGAAAAACACTGGAGTTCTGCTATACAGGTTAGCTTACAAAGGAATATATAGAAATTTGTAAAAAATCTATTCCAGTAATAAATCATTCTGTACAGAACTATCCCAGCAATATATCATAAGGAAGATATACTAGCTTTGCACAATAAATGTGAGAGATTTTGTTTTCTGCCATACATAGAAAGTCTGTCTATAGAGAAGGTCTGCTTGAAACTCTAACTAAAAAGATATATGAAAAATAGTGTTTATAACGATTTGCCGGAATTTCAATAGGCATAAATATATTATATTACATAATATTTAGATCGTCTGAGAGGAGACTTAAAAATAGATAAAATTTTAATTCTGTTCAGAGTTTGCTGATTTAGAGCTAATATTTGATAAGTCAGCGTCTAGACTCCAGTTTCAAAAGATGCCCAGTATTTATATCCATAAAAGACTTAAGAAAGTCCTTATTAGCTACAGCAAAGCAGGAGTTCATACTGAGAGCTAAGTAAAATTATGTAAACATAAAAATAATTAGAGTACTCAATAGTCATAAAGAAAAGTCGATTAATATTTTATACCACTGGAGTATTCACACAAATGAATTCTTATTCATAATGAAATGCCTTGGGGAAAATATAAAAAAGTTTCCTTTAGACTCATTCTCTATTCACTTTCCTCACTACTTTTAGCATAAAACAGATGACCTCAATTGGCCAACAATTGGGCAATCAGACTTACCTTTGCAGCGTGGCACTGGGCCACTCCAGACGCCCGTCGGCTCACAGTCGAGAAGCGCCGGTCCGGTCAGCTTGAAGCCCCATTGGCATTTGAACACCGCCCGCCCCCATGCCGATGTATTGAGTTCAATGAGACTGAGATGGGGATCGTCGAGCACGAGACGTGGACATTGAATGGGATGGCATGTTGGCGACGGCGATGACCAATTGCCTGAGGCCAGGCAGGTGGCATTCCAGGCGCCATCCAGCCGAAAGCCCTCGGGGCACTCATAGTGCGCTCGCTGGCCCAATTTATTGCCCTCGAGCCGTAGCCTGAGCGGCGCCATCGGCTCGGTCAGCTGCGGGCACGTCGAAGTGGCCACCACCACGGCAATGCTGTTCGTCAAACCGCGCGGCGAAGTGCACGTAAATGTGCCCGAATCATTGTTCTCGATGCTCTTGATGCTCAGCCGATAGCGCACGGCCTTCTCCTCGCCAGCCGGAGACCAGCCTGCAAATCGAAAAGTAGAAGAAGAAGAAGATGAAGAAGAATCACCCACGCTCTCTCGTATTACAGCAAAACTTCCAGTCAACGCACCCGTATTATACTGCATATACCAGCTGGTCCAGCTCCACTCGGGAGTGCCACGCACACGCGGATACATGCAGTCCATTTGGACGGTGCTGTGCGGCGGCACGGCCATTACGCCGGATGGCTCGAACGAGTGCGATCCATTGAAGATTTTGATGCGTATGGAGGGTGCACTGTCCTCCGAGTAGTTGGTCAAGATGGTGGTGGGCACACAGCTGGGCATCCGTGGTGCCCAGAGTCCGTTCGAGCAGAGCACACGGGATTCACCCAGCAGTTTATAGATGCCCAGCTCCTGGCAGCGGGCCTGCAGTGAATGGCCATGGGGCAGATCCCAGCCGACGTTCTGCAGTAGTTTCAATGTGTACAATGTGATGTGGGACAGCGGGCGTGACACGTGATTCGTGCGATGTGCGATGTCGTGACACGTTAGGCGAACAGCAGGCAGAGATTCAGGCATTTGAAATGAAGCGAATGTATTTTTGATTTTTTTGATATTACGTGCAGTGCAGTAGACAGACAGAGAGAGAGAGAGAGAGAAAGAGAGAACGAGAGAGAAGAGTATAAAAAAATGTTCTGTTTAGATTTATATACAAGCTGTTAACACTAGTTAGAGGCGCACTCTCTATGGACGTGGGCGTGGCTTGGGCGTGCTGGCGTGCAATTTCCATAGTGTTCTCTTGTTGCTGTCTGTAAATGTATATTGGGTTTTAGCTCTGTGTGTGTGTGTGGGTGTGTGACTCTGTGTGTGTGTGCGCCCAATGGTCAATGCTAAAGCCGTGCATACAAAAATATTTTCTCATTGTCAAAAACCATAAATAGCACCCACTACTTGGGGCAGACACTACTTGGCGTGGATGTGTACGTGTGTGTGTATTGTACGAAGCCTGTAAGGGAGTCGTACTGAGAATCGTACTGAGAGAAAAGCATGTTGTTAGGCTATTACACTGCTTTGAGAGTTAAGTGGGGCCTGTTTCTGTATAAAAATCTCTTCAAAGTGGCATAGAAACTAATTTTTCGCCAAACTCTCCGATATACAAATATCTCCATTCAGTATATTTCCAATCTCTTTAATCAATTTTGTGTCAATTGTTTTCTTTTTTACTTCCATCATCACTAAATTCCTTCTATACCTAAACTTATCCAAGAACCGGTGGATAAGTAGAATATCTAAAGATCCTTAGCTTTCTCATCAATTATTAAAATTTTAGCTAAATAGCATATTTATTCCATTATTTATATATATATATATATATATATATATATATATATATATATATATATATATATATATTAAATAATATTATGGTAATATATACTATTTACTATATTAATAAATTTATATGTATTTTTTTTATATAATTATTTTTTTTTTTTTTTTTTTTTTACAAAATTAATATACACAATCTTGGTAATGCCTTAAGCAATAGCTTCAAAAAACTACCAAAAGTCTGTCATGGGAATCATTAACACCTAATATAATATCCATCCTTCAGTTACGCAATGCTAGGCAAAAAATTTCTTGGTCCAAGACTCAGCTCTGCAGTACAGTAAAAGTATTTGTGTTTATGTTTGTATTTGTATGTATGTGTGTGTCACAACTCTACATATGTGAGCAAGTTATGCATAGATACGGATACGAGGTAAACGTAGACAAAGTAGACGAAGAGGTAGACGAGACGACGCAACGTCAAGGATGGCCACTCACAATTTCTGTGTTTGAGACAAGTGTCGATTTGGATAAGCGGGTCTTACGCCAGCCGCGATTTGGTGGTATCGGTGTCTGCAAGAGAGAGAGATCAAAGAGTACCAAAAATACAGAGTCTTGTGGCTGCACATTGCAGATGCGGATGCAGGATGCAAAGTTCGTTTAAATATATATATTATTTTTCTTATATTTTTTGTTTCTAGGATGACGCTGGGCAAATTGTTGTTTGTGCGGCTGATATCGATACAAGAGATGATTGAGAAATTGAGCGAGACAGAGACGTATATATTAAGATATATAGAGAGACAGAGAGAGAGAGAGACAGTGAGAGAGAGCGATATATTTAAACAGAGAGAGAGAGCGAGAGAAGAGAGAGGCTGTGTGACAGAGACAGTCGATATTGAGTTGGACTCACATTTGGCTATGCCAAGGCCGTTGCCTTCACTAGCTTGGATGGAGTAACTGCGGCGTGTATTGTATGTGTGCTGTGTGTGCATGTGTGTGTGTGTGTGTGTGGGTGTATGTCTGAGTGTGTGTCTGTGTGTGCTGTGTATTTTGGTGCTTTAGCTCCTGGCACGGCTGACGGCTTTGCAGGCTGTCATCACTTACCACGGAGATGTTGCGATAGCTGAGCAGCAGATGAGGCGGAATGCGATTGACATGGCAGCTCTTGTACAGTGGCTGAAACTTCACGTTGCCGTTGTCATCTACAGATAAAGATGTCACAGAGATCAGCATTGTAATGCACAGTTATGCGGCATATAAACTACACTCAGAGAAATGTGCATTCGGAATGGAACTCAGATCGATTTCAATTTAAAAGAGCGATCAATAATGTTAATAATGATAATAATAATGATATATGTAATAATAATGATTATTTTATTCAGAATGGATATTTCACATTTTGAGCAATGCTTTTCTCTGAGTGTAGCTACATAGCTGCACATAGACAAATAGATATAGAATTAGAGATGTTGAAATGAAACAACTTGGATTGTTGCTGGTGCTGTTACATATATATATATTTTTTTTTTTTGCGGTGTGCTGATTGTGTTGTCTTTATTATACGAGTCTCTACTGTAATGACATGTTACGTATTTGTATTGCTATTGCTATAATTAACATTCCATTGTGTGCGTGTGTGCTGTGTAATATGTGTGCATATGTGTGTATCGAGGGGGCATCTCACTTACCCTCCTCATTGGTGGCGCACAGTGGCCCCACCCACTTGCCCTTGACACAGCGTATCTTGCATAGACGTCGATCGCCCATCGGTCCAATTTCACCTGGGAAGCGAATCTCAGATACCTCGGTAAACTGTTGCAATATATCAATCTCCTCGTCCTCCTCCTCGTCCTCGTCAAACTCCGACTCGTCTGGGTGCATGGGCGGAAAGCCGGTCTCCTCGTCATAGATACCTAAATTGGGGTGAAATCGGAACAGAACAGGTGAGGGCGTTATGAAATGGGCAAATGTAAAATGCTAAGAAACGGGATACAGTGGGGAGGTACTTGACAAAGAGATAGATAGAGAGATAGAGAGAGGGGAGTAGAGAGAGAGAGCAAGTAGAGCAAGCATTTAATGAGCTGTTGTTGTGACCGATATGAGCAAACGTAAAGCGACAGGTGAATGAGTGAATGCGAACATGAAAGAGCATTGAATGCTCAACGAGTCAACGAGTTTATAGACAGCCCCCACACGCCTCTACATACATCTAAGCGGCACCCTTACACCACTCGCTATTATCAGATGCCAAGAGCTTTCAATGGCTGAAGTGGCCAAGCCTTTAGAAAAGGCTAAGAAGCAGCAGAAGTAGCGAGAGGAGCAGTTGGAGCTGGGGCATCCACATCTTAAGCACACACACATTAAACCGCACGAAACGTGCGAGCTTCAATGGCCCAACTTAAGGCTGTTAGATATGCATTAAAAGCGCCGAGAAAATGAAGAGTGTGGGCTATGTGGACGCCAAATCCGAATACGGAGTGGAGCCAGCGCTTGGGGTGGACAGGCCACTTAACAGGATACAACTTCATTTCTGAACGAGGCGTCAAAAAATAAAAAAAGGAAAAGGAATAAGTGGAAGTGAAAAGGCAAAAGATAACATGAAAGATAATATTATGCCGTGCAGGCTGTCGGCGACCCAAGTACACAAGCAGAAACCAGAAGTCCCCAGTCGTAAGCCTCCAGCCCCAAGCACCTAGCCCAAACCTCAGTTCCAAGTGGCCGAACTAATAGAAAAAACGCAAACGGACAAAGGCAGCTGAATCAAAGTAAACAAAGGGACAGCATAAAGCAGCCGAAAAAAGGAAGGAAAGAAAAAAACAAGGGAAAAGGAAAGAGATAAAGGTAGATGAAACACAAAGAAAGTATAACTCATGAGATTTTCATACCCTAGAATTAAATAGACATATGAATAATAGATGTGCAGATCAAAATTTAATATTTTTTAAGAGCTGAATATAATATAAAATTTTACCAAAATTATAAAAAGAAAGTCATTTACTTTTGTTTATTTTTATTTTTCAATTAAATGAATAGCTATATAAAAGTGGAAGTATTTAAAAAAAAATTAATAACTACAATATTGTCATAAATATACGATTAATAAATTAGTAACTAATTTAAAAGATCTCCATTTTTTGTTGAAAGCAAAAATATATGAGAAAAAAGTCTAGACAATATTTCAATATATCAGTTGAAAGAAGTCAAATAATATTAGAAAAGTAGAGAAAATATGGACTAAAGTAATGTAATTTTTATGATTTGATAGAGCAGGAGTGACCTCAGGTAGATATCTCACAAAAAAAAAAGAAAAAAAGAAAGATTTACGGTCAAAAGTTAAATATGTGTTAAACGATCGATAAGATTTGCTTCAGCTAATAAAATTTTTATTAGTTAATGGTACATATATGCTGATTAAGACTTCTTTAAAATGAATGGTCAAGTGTATGAGCTAAAAAAAAATTTAATAAATCATTGAGCTAGCAGTACCAAAATACGTAAAGCTTAAACATAGCTTCATCTTTGATCTCTTCTAGGCCCATATCTACCATACCATCAATCAAATGGGCCTTAAAAACTCGTATACCCTATGCAGGCGCATAAAAAAGGCTAACAAATAAAGGATAACCCCTCGTAAGCAAATCCACAAGCTGGAACCAACGCAGATGACAAGGCTAACCACGATAAAGAATGAATTCTTTTTTATTCTCCTGGACACAGAGCGAGAGAGACAGAAAGAGAGAGGGAGAAAGGAAAGAGTGTGCAAGAGAAGAAAGAGGCAGTGGGGGATATAGAGACAGAGACGAGTAAATGGTGCGATGCCAGCATGAAGCATGTTAATGAGCTGAGCGTGAGAGCGAACTGAGGCGATTTATGGCTGACTCCGTGCGGAGGAGTCGCCCGTTGGGGCGACTCTGCGATTAGCTTTTTAACGATTTTATGTGTTATGTGGGCTCTGTATTCATATTGCTGTGTACTCCACTCTCAACACTCCAGGTGTATGTGTGTGTGTGTCTCTGTGTCTGTGTGTGTGTGTGTTGGTGTTGGTGTTGATGTGGCTTAGCATAACACAGACGGACAGACAGACAACGAGACAGCGACAGCGGCTTTCAATTCAATTCAATTTTCATGGGCACTGTGGCATTGCCAGTGTCTGGCGTCTATGCAAATGCTTTGCTTTTGCAAGCATTTTCCTTACCCTTGTCCTTGCGACTGGTGGTCTTTGAACTGGAATCGCCACCACCTTTCGGACGGCTCAGTGCACCCGTGGTCTTGCCCGACTTGCGCTTTACACGTTGCAGGGCCACTGCTGCACTGCTCGACTGATTGCCATGATTTATCATCATATCCAACTCCAGTTGCCCGGCATCGCCTTTGGCATCGATGCTGCGGCGCCAACGCGATTCCATGTCACGCTGGTCGAGCTCTGCAGCGTGACTGTCACCGCGTCGGCGATGGTGCTCCTGCTTTGGCTCCAGCTCCAGCTCCTGCTGCTGCTCCTGCTCCTGCTCGTGGTCCAGCTCCTGCAGGTGCTGCTCCTGCTGTTGCTTCTCTGCTTCCGCCTGCTGTTTGGCTGCCTCTGCCTGTTTGGCTTTAAGCCTCTCCAACAACTTGATGCACTTCTCGCTGCTGCCATCGGCCATGCACTTGGCCAGCCTTGCCTTCTGCTTCAGCTTGCGCAGCTTGGCGCGCAGCTGGAGATTGGGCTCACGCGATTTGAGTATGTCCGCAATGTGCACGTAATAGACATCCCCGTCGGCGGCCAATTTGCTGCCCGCCCAGCGATCTGTGTCCGGCGAGGCCTCCGCATCGTGCAGGATGGCATGGCGCTTATAACGACTGCCCCGCCCACGTGCCGACTGTCCGTTCTCATTCTCCAGGCGACGACGACGACCGGAACCGGAGCGTCGCTTCTTGCCCTGCTTACGATTTGTGTTCATTCGCTTGTAGGCCCCATCCTCCAGCTCAGTGCCGTGCAGCTCATCCGCTTCATCCTCCAAATCGTGGTCATCCACTAGACTGGCTGCCGCATCGCCAGCATGCAGCTCATCATGATGCGAATGATGCGGCTGCTGCTGTTGATGATGATACGGCTGATGTTGCTCATCGTCACCAAAGTCCACCGAATACGGATTCACAATGGCCGCATGATTCTCTTTGGCCGTATGCAGCTTATCCACAAATTCGACATCGGCTGTGGTAAAGTCCTCCGGTAGATAGACCTGCGTTGTCTCAAACTTCGCATACGGCTGCTCAGTTGTCATTTCCGGTTTGAAAATGGTGAAGCGCACATCCGGCGCCCGGCAGCCCGGCGATGCATCTGCAAACAGCAAAAGAAACCGAGATACAGATTCAGTAAGTGAGTAAGATAGAGAGAGAGAGAGAGAGAAAGAGAGAGAGAGAGAGAGAGAAGGAGATATAGAAAGAGTTAGAGAATGGCATTGAGTAGCTGAACTTTTGCCATAAATATTTCATATATGATCTAATTTAATAACTTGGCAACTTTGACTGACTTTGAAGTGCAATCGAAATTGCAAATTTCCAATATGCATTGGCATTTGGCATTTCCGCATAGCATAGCACACACACACTCAGACACACATATACATATATACGCACACATTCGCACAAGTTTCAATTTGCAATTGAGCAAAGTCATGCAAGCATTTTCCGTCCGAGCTGCAGCTTCATTTTCCATTTCACCATTTTATAGTCAGACTTAAAGGTTCGGCCAACTGTGCTCGTTGCGCTCAAGTTTTTCTCTTTTGAAACATATTTTGTGTATCCTAAACTTATGTAAGAATTTATATAACAAATATAGGGATAGTCGCATATTGTAAAACTTTTCTTACAAATGTTTACAAATCCCAGAAATTTTTTATTTTCTATTATAGTTGATCTTGTTAACTTCTTAATTTTCTTAATATTCCATATAAACCATAATACATTATAATCTATGTATATACAATATGTATATCTGAATGCCATCCTTTAGCCCAATTCAACATCAACTGTCTGATTCATGGTTCTTTCTCGGAAGTTTTCATACAAACTACATATAATAAATACATACATACTCATACATACATACATACTCTATTTAACATATATTTCATATATACATATTATATTATATTATTGTTCCGCATATCCAACAGAACTGGGTCAACTGGCAATGTAAAAGCGGCTAAATTACATTGCCCGCTTTTAATTTATGTAATTCAATTGCCAATTAGCCAAAAGCCAAATGCAAACACAAAAAGCAACTGCAAATGCAAAAGCAAATGTTTCTCAAAGTGCGAACACTTAAATGCAACTCATTTAATTAGAGCAGCTTGAAACGTTGTTAACAATATTTTGCTAACACAATTTGTGCTACAAATGAACTAGAGAAGCACTTGGTTAGCTATACAGTTATGTAATAGATATACATATATATATATATACATACAAATACAGCTGTTTAGTGGCTATACAGACAGACATTGGGAAACCAAATAAATGCCACGACCAACAGAAAAAGTTATCAATAAGTATACATATCCAGTTAATAAATGCATGTATATAAATTCGTCAAAACAATATCTGGGAAAGCTTGTTAAGGCTGCTCAAATCGAATAATACCCTAAATTGGAGAATGTAAACAATAAAAGAGATCTATGATGACTTTGGGTTTTACAAGATATGTTAGTATGCACACATAACTCTAATTTGTTATCGATTAAAGTCAATTTCATAGAAATGTAGAAAACTATCGATATTTGAAAATAACTAGTGATAAGGCGAGTAAATTTTATTTACGTGAATTATATTTCATAAATCTCTTATATTATTGTCTAGAAGTCTAGGTTTACAACTCTTAGAACTTGCAAACAGTCATGAGTATTCAACTTTTCTTCTTTCGCTAAATCATGATATAAATCGTCAATGAACATATTCACACTTAACGGTTAAAAAAAACCTGTTCATTCACCATGAGAGTTCAATGCGATAACAATATATGCGAAAAAGAGATGAAAACTATGATTAAGTTTCAGAGAGTGTTATGCAGTAATTATTTAAAAATCACAATATGTAATTATACATACAACAAATATACTACACATTAAATGTTTGATATACAGTCAAGTCTCGATAATTCGTACCCCGCTAAATCGAAAATAACGATCAACGGAAAAGAAATCTATCTCCTTGAAAGAAATGCGTTCTCAATAATTCTCGATAGTTTGAAAATCGAAAAAAAAACTTATCCCCTTGCTATTTCGTAATATCGTGATTCTACTGTACTACAAATAGTCATATTGCTAATATATTCAATAATAATAAAAGTAATTGTGATGCAATCAATTCAATAGTTTTTATAGTGTCAAGCAATAATTATATGCTTAGTTCTCCCAAATACGAATAAAGGCAGAGGCAGAGAGCACAAACTTGAACACTGCATATTATTATTATCTAAATTGCGACTCAGACAATATTTTATTGCGCTGGGTCTGAGCATGCTATTTAAGGTAGTGTAGAGTGGTTTTTATACTCAATGCTTGTCGTTTGCTTGGCGAAATAGAACGTATTTTCCGACGGCTTCGAAATGGCTTTGGCTTTGCTGTTGTTAATCGGGCTGGCCACGCTTATCTTCTGGCTATATAGACTAAATAAGGAATACTATGTGCTGGCTTTCTTTGCCAAGCGAGTGCGTACTAAGGATGGACGACCCGTGGACAGTATAGCTCCTACAATTAAAGGACGCACTATATTTGGAAATTCATTCGACCTGTTTGGCTTGGAGGATGGTTAGTTATAATTCCCAAAATCAAATATATCCAAGGGAATAACGTATATATATTTGTTCTATACAGTTGAAATTTTTACTCAACGGCACAATCGCGCTGTGAAAATGGGCTGCAGCTTCTTGGAATATGTAAAGGGTTTGGCTGTTTACAATGTGATCGATGCGGACACCTTTGAAACAATACTGAACAATAAAGATTTGATAACCAAGGGAATTGTATACGATTTTGTGCACTCGGTACTTCGATTAGGTCTGCTGACATCCACAGGTGAATAACACAATGCCACAAAATTTGAACTAAACTAAATTCTGATTAAATAATACTAACATCAGGTCAGAAATGGCACTCAAATCGCAAATTGCTCACACCGACCTTTCACTTTAATATACTAGGTCAGTTTATTGAGGTTTTCAAGTAAGTTCATCTAAATGCAAAGAAAATTCAATTTTATCTTGATTTTCATTTGTTATCTTAGAGCTGAGAGTTTGAAATTCGCGCAGCAATTCGAAGGCAATGCGGAGAGTACCGTTTCTCTAACTGAACTCATACCCAGATTCACTCTCAACAGCATTTGTGGTGAGTTTGATAAGCTAAATGTACTGTACTATTTCAACAAATATGACTGAAATATTTACTTGCAGAGACAGCCATGGGCATCAAGCTGGACGACATGGCTGCTAAGGGAGATCGTTATCGAGAGAACTTCGGCATGATCGAGAACAGATTTATAAAACGAATGGGCAATCCTCTTTTTTGGAACGATACCATCTATAATTTATTCGGACCCAGCGACGAAAAGATATTTTTAAAGGAAATCCACGACTTCTCTAGTGAAATTGTAGCCAAGCGCCGAGAACTATTCGCACAGGAGATTAAGGATAAGAAAGGATCTGGCCCAGAAGAGGATGATATGTGAGTTGAAATCATTGAGAATTAATTTTCTGTGAAATACTAATATCATTTATTTCAGTTATATAAAAAAGAAACAACGATTTGCTATGCTGGATACTCTTATCATGGCAGAAAAGGATGGATTAATCAATCATGAGGGCATTTGCGAGCAGGTGGATACCCTTATGTTCGCAGGTTTTGATACCACCTCTATTGCTATTATATTTGGGCTAATGAACATGGGCATATATCAGGATCAACAGGAGCTGTGCTATCAGGAGATTTGCGAGCATATAGCTGGTAATTAAATGCGAGTTTTCTATCAATCGAAATCGTTTTCCATCGTTCGGAATTTCAGATGACTTTAGTAATCTGGACGCTAATCAGCTGTCGAAACTGAAGTATTTGGAATGTTTTATAAAAGAATCGATGCGCCTTTATCCATCTGCCCCCTCTGTTAGTCGACAAACAGCGAAGAATACTGAGCTGTCAAATGGTCTGATTTTACCCCCTCGTGCTCAAATCGTATTGAACATTTATGAGCTGCATCGCAATCCTAAATACTGGAGCTCTCCGCTAGAATTTCAGCCCGAACGCTTTCTGCCCGAGAACAGCAAAGGCCGTCATACCTATGCCTATGTGCCCTTCAGTGCGGGCCAACGCAATTGCATAGGTAAGTTGAAATCTATTTATATATGTGACTATGACTTAATTCATCTCTATGTTTCGTAGGTCAAAAGTATGCGATGCTCGAGATAAAGACCATAATGTGCGTTGTACTTAAAAAATTCAGAATTTTACCTATTGTCAAGCCCCAGGATTTAGTTTTCTGTTCGGGTATTACAATGGGATGCAAAACTAATGTTAAAGTCAAACTGGTCAAACGTAGTTAGACATCCAATCAAATTTATGTATTATGGATAGGTATCAATTGAGAATCTATAACTGAGACTAATACCTTGTTTATGATGAGTAAAAAAAAAAATAAAAAAAAATTAAAATTAAAATAAACTAATATCAGTAAGTAAACCATAAAAAATTCATTTTTTTATTTTTAATTTTTTTAATTTAATCATTTATTTCTCTTTCTTTTGTATTACAAATATCATATCGTATATATATATTTTTGTATAATAATTTACACAAGTTAATGAATAACAAAATATTATATAAATAAAAAAAAAATAACAAATGTTTGTAAAATACTTTTGTACAATTATTTCTGCGCTCCATAGCAACAATCAATACTTGTGTCTAATCATAGCTGATTTATTGATGTTATAGAGTGTTATCAATATCTTGAATAAGTACGATTAAAATATCTTCACCTATAGAGCCAATAAATACACTATTAAATCTAATTTCTTAAAAATTATATATTTTAATAAAACTTGTATATTTTAGTTAGATTTAAATAAAAAATTCTAAAAATTTTCAAACTATAATGTCTTTTATGTTTTGGCTTTCAATTTTTGCGAAATCATGATGAGAATCATCAATAAAATTCTATATATATATATACTCATGCTGACAAGTAAAAAACAAATTAAATGCCGGCTCACCATGAGCATTCAATTTGCTTTTATAGTTGCGAAGAGAGAACAAGTTATTTGACATCAATTAAACGCTGTGCTCTTTACCAAATAAACAAACCGGCAGCAGTCTAATTTCTCTCAGTCTCTCTCTCTCTTATATTATATCGCCACAAGGTTGAATACATAGAAATGATATTAGAAGTCTTTATATGGTATTTAAGCTGGCGTAATGCGCATTGTTCAAACAATATTCGTCGCTGATTGAGAGAAATAGAACGTTCTATTCGACGGCTCTGACATGGCTTTGTGTTTGCTGCTGTTGATCGGACTGGGGACGCTTATCTTTTGGCTATATAGGCTTAATAAGGAATACTATGTGCTGGCTTTCTTCGCCAAGCGAGTGCGTACTAAGGATGGACGACCCGTGGAGAGTATAGCTCCGTTATCTAAGGGGAATACAATTTTTGGCAATTCTTTCGACTTGTATGGCATGGATGACGGTCAGTAAATTGAATGATATCCATCGGAACAATTTATTTACCGTGCATTTTCCCATCAGTTCAAGTTTTTGATGAAGTGCACGATCGCGCTAAGCAAATTGGTTGCAGTTACTTGGAATATGTAATGGGCACATCTGTGTACAATGTATTCGATGCGGAGAACTTTGAAGCCATTGTGAACGATAAAGAACTATTGACAAAGGGTATTGTGTACGATTTTATGCAACCAGCTCTACGATTGGGCCTGTTGACATCATCAGGTTAGTTACACAATGCCACACAATATAGACTACATTGTATTCAGATTAAACATATTCATTTCAGGCCAAAAATGGCATTCACGACGCAAATTGCTTACACCCACCTTTCACTTTAATATATTGGAGCAATTTAATGAGGTTTTCAAGTAAGTTCAACTAAATGTTAAGCAAACTATATGTGATTTTAATTTAAATTACATAAAAATTCAATTGAAATTTAATTTTATTCTCTTTTATTTTAATTTTTATTTTTATTGAATTTTTAGAGCTGAGAGCTTGAAATTCGTGCAACGATTCGAGGGCAATGCAGAGACTACCATCTCTCTAAGCGAACTCATACCCAGATTTACTCTCAACAGCATTTGTGGTAAGCTTGTTCAGCTGATTACTTTCTGTACCGCTTACTCAATTCATATACACAAAAACAGAGACAGCCATGGGCATCAAGCTGGATGATATGGCTGCCAAGGGAGATCGATATCGAGAGAACTTCGGCATGATCGAGAAGAGATTTATAAAACGAGCAGGAAATCCCTTCTTTTGGAATAATACCATCTATAATTTATTCGGACCCAGTGACGAAAAGAAATTTTTAAAGGAAATCCATGATTTCTCTAGCGAAATTATTGCCAAGCGCCGAGAACTATTCGCACAGGAGATTAAGGATAAGAAAGGCTCAGACCTAGAAGAGGAAGATATGTGAGCTAAGATTCATTCATTCATTTGCTGTGAAATGCTAATATCTTTATTTTTCAGTTATATAAAAAAGAAACAACGATTTGCTATGCTGGATACTCTTATCATGGCAGAAAAGGATGGATTAATCGATCATGAGGGCATTTGCGAACAGGTGGATACCCTTATGTTCGCAGGTTTTGATACCACCTCTATTGCTATTATATTTGGGCTAATGAACATGGGCATATATCAGGATCAACAGGAGCTGTGCTATCAGGAGATTTGCGAGCATATAGCTGGTAATTTAATATGACTTATCTATCAATCGTACTCGTTTTCCATCATTCGATCTTCCAGATGACTTTAGTAATTTGGACGTTAATCAACTGTCGAAACTGAAGTATTTGGAATGTTTTATTAAGGAAACGATGCGGCTATATCCATCAGCACCCTCTATTAGTCGACAAACAACAAAGGATACAGAACTTGCCAATGGTCTGATTTTACCAGCTAATGCGCAAATCGTATTGAACATGTATGAGTTGCATCGCAATCCCAAATACTGGAGCTCTCCTGAGGAGTTCCAGCCCGAACGTTTTCTGCCTGAGAACAGCAAAGACCGTCATACCTATGCCTACATGCCCTTCAGTGCTGGACAACGCAATTGCATAGGTACGTATTATTGGATTAAACATGTGAATCTGTCTTAGCTCAATTTGTGTTTCTAGGTCAAAAGTATGCGATTCTGGAGATAAAAACATTCATGACCGTTATAATTAAGAGATTTAAGATTATGCCTGTCTTCGATCCCAAGGATTTGCGTTTAAGTTTGGGTATCACATTGGGCTTCAAAAATAATATTACAGTCAAACTAATCAAGCGTAATGCCTAAAAGTTGAAATCCATATTATAAAAAACTTGTATTGATCATCGAATTGGCTTAGTAGATTATAAATTCAGTTATAAGGTTTTGTTTGTGATAACAGAAAATAAAAAGATTTTACTGATTACCTAAAGTATACACACACATTTTATAGGTAATGGAATATCTGTTCTGTTTATTGAATCATATGTTCGATAAGGTATTTGTTTGTTTACTTATCTGTAGTCGCTCTTCAAAAGAGATCAGAGAATTTAATTTCATGCTCTCTTAATTCTCTTCTATTATTCTCTTTTAATATTGAGGCATTCTAAATTTAGCAGCAAGCTATTAACCTTGAACTTGAAATCATAAATTATATGAAATTTGTTCACGGGTGTGCTGGTTTGGCGAAAAGCTATGCAACAGATGGCTGCCGGCTTGGCGGACCTTAAATGCTTATAAAGTCTTAGTTCTAGGCTATATTCTAATCGGGCAAGAATTTTATAATATTTTTTTTTTTTTAATTATATCGATTTTTTGATTTAAATATTTTTTAATAATGTTGTTTTATTGTTCCAAACTAATATTTTATTTCAAAATATTTTAATATTTTATAGAAACAGTAAATATATATGAATATATCATACATATTGTATCATTCGTCTAAATCACCTAATCATGATGACTAGACTGATTTTAAGTCTAAGAACTAATGTCTAACCATGATAAGACAAACCAACAGCCATTCTATAAAAGAGTTATTTTTAGCGCAGACTGCTTATACATATTTATACTTTACACTTCTAGTAGCTAGTTTATATTTTAACATGTATAATTGCTGTCACCAAACAACTGCAATCCAATATAATTAGTTTTGCTGATAGAATCCGGTTGTGATCGTCCCGCCTTGTAAACACACCGACCTATATAATATATTACTACATATCTAGTATAATATAGAGTCTAGCGGCGTCTCACTGAACGCCGGCAACTCACTCAAACAAATACAAATATAATCTTATGAGTTTTTTTTTTTTTCTTTTTTTTGTACAAAGATAATGTTCAGCGTCCAATCAACCGTTTTTAATAATTTGTAGTTCTAGTTCAGTCAGTAATTCACGCTTGTTGAGAGAGGTTATACGCGTTGTTCAACTGCTTTGCAATGGGTCTAGGTTTGCTGTTGTTGATCGGATTAGGTACGCTTATCTTCTGGTTATATAGACTCAATAAGGAATACTATGTGCTGGCCTTCTTTGCTAAGCGAGTACGCACGAAGGATGGACGACCCGTAGAATATATAGCTCCGGTAGCTGAGGGACGCACTATATTCGGAAACTCTTTCGACTTGATTGGCCGAAATGAGGGTAAGCAAAATATTCTTCTAATAGTCTACTCAGTCAATTATATGTCTCACTCTCTCTCTCTCTCCCTCTCTCTCTCTCGCTCTCTCGCTCTCTCGCAGCTGAGGTGTTTTTTGATATGCGCAATAGAACCAAGAAAATGTGTCGCAGCTATATAGAATATGCCATGGGCACTTCCATATTTTGTATCATCGATGCGGACAACTTGGAAGCCGTGTTAAATGATCAGAACCTGATAACCAAGGGTATGGTGTATGAATTCTTGCAACCGGCGTTACACACTGGCCTGTTGACATCAACAGGTAGGCGATATACAGTTAATCATAGTATTGCGCTTGGTTAAACATAAACATAAACAATTTTAGGTCAGAAATGGCACTCAAGACGCAAGATGCTTACGCCCACATTTCACTTCAATATCTTGGGACAATTTGCAGAGATTTTCAAGTAGATTTCATGATTTTATCTATAAAACTTAGTATTGATATCTATTTCTATTTTGCATATAGAGGCGAGAGTTTGAAATTCGTGCAGCAATTTGAGGGAAAGGACGAGGTCTCTATCTCCCTAAGTGAGCTTATACCAAGGTTCACTCTCAACAGTATTTGTGGTAAGTTCGTTAAGCTGAATGTTTACTGTAGTTTATCAATTCATATTCACCCACAGAGACAGCCATGGGCATCAAGCTGGATGACATGGCAGCCAAGGGGGATCGCTATCGCCACAGCTTCAGCATGATTGAAAAGATATTTATAAGGCGATTCAGCAATCCAATTTATTGGAGCGATACTTTGTATGAACTGTTCGGCTCCAAGGAGGACAAACGCTTCTTACAGGATGTTCATGATTTCTCTAGTGAAATTATAGCCAAGCGCAGATTACTTTTGGCACAAGAGGTAAAGGAAAGGGGAAGCAGCCAAGCGGCAGACGATGATATGTAAGTAAAAGCGATAACATTATTTGCTCTATTTGTATACAAGATGATTTTCTTTATTTTTATTTAATCAAAATTTAGTTATATTAACAAGAAACAACGCTTTGCCATGCTGGATACACTAATCTTTGCTGAAAAGGATGGCCTAATTGATCATGCGGGAATTTGCGAGGAGGTGGATACGCTCATGTTTGAGGGCTTTGATACCACTTCCATTGGCTTGATATTTGGACTTATGAACATGGGCTTATACCAAGATAAGCAGGAACTGTGCTATCAGGAGATAAGCGAACACATTGCTGGTAAGACTTGTCTGACGAGCATTATAATCAGTTGTTAACCCATATGTTTTCCATACCAGATGACTTTAGTAACTTGGACCTTAATCAGGTCTCTAAACTAAAGTATTTGGAGTGCTTCGTTAAGGAGACGATGCGACTGTTTCCCTCGGTGCCAATTATGAGCCGTAAGACTCTAAAGGAAACTGAACTGGCTAATGGTCTGATACTGCCGCCAGGAGCGCAGATTGTTATGCATATCTTTGATGTACATCGCAATCCCAAATACTGGAGCTCACCTGAGGAGTTCCAGCCCGAACGTTTTTTCCCCGAGAACAGCAGAGATCGTCATACCTATGCCTATATACCTTTCAGTGCGGGTCAACGCAATTGCATAGGTAAATTTAATTGAATGATGAATATATAAAATGAATATATTAGCTAATTATTATTCATACATCTTTCCTTCCCATAGGTCAAAAGTTTGCCCTGCTCGAGATGAAAACACTGCTCATCGTAATACTCAAAAAGTTCATTGTCTTACCTCTGGTTGATCCCAAAGATATCGTTTTTCACACGGGCATCACATTGCGTTGCAAAAATGATATTCGAGTGAAACTAGTGAGACGTAGTTAGCTTTTTTAGCTATTAAGTAAGTGTAAATTTGCTTTGTCATTACGCTGATATTTTAAGGTGTTTTTGTTGTGAATGAGATATAATGTACTGTAAACTTTAACTGTATTAAATGTATTGTTTCAATTTTATTTTTGTCTTGTTTATCTATTCTGGGAGCGAAGTTCAAAGTTCTATAAGAAATATTAATAATATATGATTGAGCTAAACTCAATCATGATGATCGATTTGCTGCTCAATTTTTGAATATATTAACAAAACAGTGGAAATTCTAATTATATAGTAATTTAAATTTAAATCTATTAAATTTCGCAAGGGGAACATGTTTTGGTCCACTACCCACCCAAACGCCCATACTACCTAGAATATTTCTACTTTGTCTAGACAGAACCAGACCAGTTTTGCTTACACGCCGTATAACTATGCATACACTAAACTACTTACTAACTACTTTAACTTTATAGAGTCTCTCTTATATTCCCGACAACAGATAAGATAATATCCAGCGTTCGGCTGGAGAGAGAGTTTTATGTAATAAATTGACGGGATTTTTACGAGCTTGTTTCAGTCAGAGCTGAGCGCTTGTACGGAGAAGTTATACGCATTGCTTAACCGCCTTACAATGAGTTTGGGTCTGCTACTGCTGATCGGCCTGGGCACGCTCATCTTCTGGCTATATAGACTTAATAAGGAGTACTATGTGCTAGCCTTCTTTGCCAAGCGAGTGCGAACTAAAGATGCACGACCTCTGGAGAGTATAGCACCGATAGCTGAAGGACGAACAATATTTGGAAACTCTTTCGATTTGTATGGCAGAAATGATGGTGAGCACAAATCTACCCAAACAAATCAAAACCGTTATTTAAGCCTCATTCTTAGCTGAGGTATTCACCGATCTGCGTGCAAAAATCAAGAAAATCGGTCGCAGCTATATAGAATATGCCATGGGCAGAGCCAAGTTCTGCATAATTGATGCAGAGAATTTCGATAACATATTGAATGATCAGAATATGATATCCAAAGGACTCGGATACCAATTTTTGCATCCCTTTCTACGCACGGGTCTATTAACCTCAACTGGTGAGTGGAGCACAGTTGGTATAAAGTACAATTGTTCAGTTATCTCTTCCGCGATTCAGGTCAGAAGTGGCACTCAAGGCGCAAGATGCTTACGCCCACATTTCACTTCAATATTTTAAGCCAATTTGTAGAAATTTTCAAGTAAGTCTAATAAATTGAAAAAATAGTGGTTTTATACCATTTTCCATTTGTTGTAATTGAAATAATCTTTATAGAGCTGAAAGTTTTAAATTCGTGAAGCAATTTGAGGAAAAGGACGAGGTCTCTATCTCCCTAAGTGAGCTTATACCAAGGTTCACTCTCAATAGTATTTGTGGTAAGTTTGTTAAACTGAATGCTTACTGTACTTTATCTGTTAATATTCACCCACAGAGACAGCCATGGGCATCAAGCTGGATGACATGGCGGGCAAGGGGGATCGCTATCGCGAAAACTTCACCATGATCGAAAAGAGATTTATCAGCCGCATAAGCAATCCCATATATTGGAATGATACCATTTATCGCCTTTTTGGAGCCAGCAAGGACAAGCAATTCTTAGAGGAAGTCCATGGTTTCTCTAGTGAAATTATAGCCAAGCGTCGAAAACTTTTGGCAGAAGAAATTAAAGAAAAGAAAAATAATCAAGAAGGAGTTGATGACATGTAAGTGAAACTTTATCAACTATCACGGTTGATATATATTTCTAATAATAATTCTAGTTATATCAACAAGAAACAACGCTTTGCCATGCTGGACACTCTGATCTTTGCGGAAAAGGATGGCTTGATTGATCACGTGGGAATTTGCGAGGAGGTGGATACACTCATGTTTGAGGGCTTTGATACCACTTCCATTGGCTTGATATTTGGACTTATGAACATGTCATTATATCAAGATAAGCAGGAGCTGTGCTATCAGGAGATAAGCGAACACATTGCTGGTAAAAGATGTCTAAACAGCTTTATTTTCAATCATTATCCTATAAACAATATCTTTATTATCGTAGATGATTTCAATAACTTGGACCTTAATCAGCTATCCAAACTAAAGTATTTGGAGTGCTTTATTAAGGAGACGATGCGACTGTTTCCCTCGGTACCCGTTATGAGTCGCAAGGCAGTAAAGGAGACCGAACTGCCCAATGGTCTGATATTACCGCCGGGTGCCGTCACTATGCTGCATATCTATGAGCTGCATCGCAATCCCAAGTACTGGAGCTCACCTGAGGAGTTCCAGCCCGAACGCTTTCTGCCCGAGAACAGCAAAGACCGTCATACCTATGCCTTCATGCCCTTCAGTGCGGGCCAACGCAATTGCATAGGTAAGTTTGACTGCTATATATATGTGAATAGTTCTCATTTATTATTATATGCTGCTTCTCAGGTCAAAAGTATGCCATGCTCGAGATGAAGACACTGCTCATCGTAGTACTGAAGAAGTTTAAAGTTTTACCTCTCATTGATCCCAGGGATTTAGTTTTCCAGACTGGCATCACATTGCGTTGCAAAAATAATATTAAAGTCAAACTAGTTAAACGTGCTTAGGGCTAAACTCTTTACTTAATTCTAGCTTATTTTCTCCTTTATATTTTAGAATGGATTGGAATATAAATATTTATTGTTTCTAAATTCTTTAAAAAATGTACAATCTAATAAATTTCTTAAAGTCAAAGACTTGCTTAAGAGAAACTCTTAAAACTGCGCCCAGTCAACAGTCGTTGTTTGGTTTTGGGCTGATAATCGTTGGCAATGGGCCACTGTTGGCAACTGCAGCTGGGCCATGCACTTGCCCCGTCTGTCCCTTGCAGCTGCAGCTGTTCTATAAATCATTCATGCACAGCCAAGCAAAAGCAGTTTTCCCACAATGAACAAGTCTGGTTAGCTCTGGCTGGCTTTATGCAAAACACGCATACGACAGAGCCGAAAACTGAAGAAGACGAGATGCTGAACTGGAGCCAAGACGTTGCCAGGATTCGAGTCATCTTTATCTCTCAGTGCATGCATAGCACATGGCATAATATGCCAGGGACTGGGCAACTGCGAAATGGGAACTGAGAACTGGCGCACGACCAGCTCCTGGGGACTGTGCACCAGGAAGCTGTCTTGGGCGACTTTTTGTCATTTGCCTGCTGCGTTTCTTTTCATTTTTCGTTTTTCTTTTTTGCTGTTTTCATCTTCTTTTCTTGCAGTTGTCGCTTTTGATTTTGACAGTTCGTTACTCGGTTATACCATTTGCATGCATAATGCACAGGATAACAGCAGGCCAGTAGCAGGAATTGCAACTCGAACTCGAGCTCGAGCTTGAACTCGGCAGGCAGCCTTAGTGGCCAGGCAGCATGTGAGACCAGACCAGCTCGCCGCTATCAGTTCCCAGTTCCCAACTCGTGTCCTGCGGGCATGTAACACACATCAACATCAAAATCGTCATTATCAACATGATCATCAGCTAGTCATCTTCGTCATCAGCCGAGACACCAAAAATGCCATCAACTACAAGCGAAGAGGGAATTTTCTGCGGCATGCCGCACCGAAGATGCTGTAGAATGTTTTTTAGCTGGCAATTTAAAAGTTTGAAGTGCAGATAAAAAATAGTATTTTATGCAGTTTTGATAAAAATAAATAAGATATATATTGAGATCTGAAAAATCGACTTTAAAAATTATTCCTGTATAATAATTAATTTTAAAAATGTAAAAAAAATAATAATAATAATAATAATAAATATAAATATTTACGTTAAAAAAAAATTTTGTTCTTACAAACTTTTTTTTTAATTTTAAAAATGTAAAAAAAAAATAATAATAAATATAAATATTAAAATATTTACATTTTAAAAAAATTGTGTTCTTACAAACATTTTTTTTTTAATTTTTTTTTTTTTATAAATTTTAAAAATATTTTTTCAAGAATCTAAATAAATTTTTTAAATACGCCACAATTTATCTATGCTTCATTTAGACGGCCTTGAGATCTTGTTAAGGAATTTACCTAATGAAAGGCTAAATTAAAAATAAGAAAACTCATTCACTTCTGTTCATGCAACCCTTTGAGCCTTCATAACAAAATCGAGCAACCCCACAGTTAGAGCATAGAAATAGCTAAAAGATTTATGGCACATGCTTCAGCTTGATGCACAATTGTGCAGACTGAGCGACATTTTTAGTTGCCATTTGGCTTATTGCAGATTCCATCTAGCTTTTGCGTTCCCTTTGCTTTTCTACTCTCATTTCTAGTTTCAAAGAGGAAAAAAGCGATTTGAGCATTGCTATGGCTCTTCATGCAAATTAAATTCCGCAGTAGTGTGTGTGTGTGGCTCTGTTGGTATTGGTCTTGGTCAAATATTTTAGCTGGCGAAATGGAAAGTGCTTGCAACTGGCCAACAGCTGCCACCAAAATTGTTGGCTTCTACCCGCAACACCTGTGTCAACACGAATGCAAATCCACAAAAAGTGAAAAGTAACAGAAGAAAACTCAATTCAATTTCGATTGCACAAACTGCGCAATTTTTGATGAGAATCAACTGCGTCGCAGCTTTCGCCAATGAGATCATCAGCAGCGGCAGCAGGGAGAAAAATAATTGAAGAAAAAGGCCAATATTTATTGCTTAATGCGCATCTGCTTTTGCGTAACAAATTGCGTGTGACAGCAGCCGCAGCATTGAGCACTTTTCACAACCACTCAACTACCTCAATCCTGGCTGCTCCCAGCCACAGCAGACGACTCCACCCAACGCCCACCGTCCACCGCCCACCGCCCATCGCCAACCCACCCACATGCTATTAATATCTATTAAACAGCCCTCGATAGCTGCCATACTTCATTAAATGCTTTCATGCAATCATGCTACCTATTTTTTCACAGTGTCTCTCTCTGTGTGTGTGTTTGTGCCTGTATTGACTCTGATTGGGATTAAGGTTTGGCCAACAGGCCTCGTTTTGATTGCCTCTGTGCCCATAGCACTGACTGTGATTGGGGAGCTGGGCACCAGAGCTGGACGGGTAGACGCTCTGAACGTGAAATATTTCATTTGCTGCGAATTATTTGCTCGGCGCTCTGCCATTGCCGTTACCGTTGCCTTTGCTTTCCATTCGCTTTTGTTTTCGTGTAACTCCCTTAACTTTATTAAGTATCAGGTATTCACAATTATTCGATAACTTTGTAACAGAAATTCGCAATATGCGTGGCTTAAAAAAAGTTGTCGAATTGGTTATGAATATATCGAACAGTTTTCAATGGGTTTTACTGAAACTTGGCATATTAAAGAAGCAAGTTTTAAATGAGTTTCAGACGAAATATGATAAGAATTCCCTTAAAATTAATTGACATAGTCTTTAAACTTTGAACTAATATAGATTATATTGTATGATTTGGCAAACACGTGTTGATAAAAAATTCTTATCATATCTCTAGCTTAAAAACTTAATAGAAATTCAGTTTGTTAAGCTGTCTAGCACACAAAAAAAAAAAAAAAAAAAAAAAAAAAAACAACGATATTAAAAAAAAATTAAAAAATAAATAAAATACATAAAAAATATATAAATATTTATAAAAAAAAATAATATATGAATATATAAAACCAAAAAAATGGAAAATTTTAAATATGCCAAAAACCTATATTTTTTTTTTAAATAGATAGACTTTTAGTTTGACTTTTAAGTCAGTTTTAAGCTATGAATCTTAACTAAAATTATACTACAATTCTCATATCTTAACAAATTGAATAGAAATTGCAAAGAATCCAATTCTTATCTCTTGCTGCAATAAGTTCCCCAAGTTCTTGAAGTACATTCAGAGTTCGCTATAAACCAAAGTTAATTTCGTATATTGAATTTTGTTTTCCTCTCGCAATGCGTGTGCCTGTCTATGTGTGTGTGTGTGTATGTGCGTGATTATCGTTTTCGAGCACGAAAGTCATTTAACAAAGTGGCTGGCCACCCATCCCACTCTCACTCCCACTCCCACGCCTCACACAGCTTCAATAGCAGAGCCGGCGTCTGGCCGTATAGGCCCCAAAAATATTTTGTAGCAAAACGTGAAATATAAACCAAAAATGTATCGCTGCCAAATGAAGGTCAATATTTTTTTTATTTCTTTTCTCTCGTATGCTTTTTTTTTATATTCTTTAATCTCACCTGGCTCCGTTGTTGTACCGGTGGTTGTCTCCACAGCCGGCGGCTCAGTGTTGGCCTGACTCTGGCTTACTCTGTCGAGCATCAGCAGCAGCACGGTCAAGGATATTAAAGCCCAGAGTGGCTTATGGCGCATACGCTGCCAGTTCCACATGTTGGTCAAGCTCACCCAAATTGGTTAACTGTTTGTTTTAACTGTTTTCGAGCACTCACACACACACACTCACACACACGAATCAACGGGCTGACATTGAGCACTCGTAACCTGGGTTTGCAGCTATGTGACTGGCCTGGGGCAAGGATAATGTGTGAGAGACTTGTCTTGTTGCTTTTCAGTTTCTTGTTTGTTTTTGTTTTCGTGTTTTTGTTATTTGTTGTTGAGCCGTCTTTAAACCACTTTAAAGTTTTGTTGTTGTCGTCGCTCAATGCCACAGCAGCAACAACTGTGCTACGCTGCTTTGCCTCAACGACGACAACACTTCACACGCTGCCTTCACTGGGCGCTAAAATAGAAATCCACTTGCAGTAACACACACACACACACGCACTTAGACACATATATGTGCATATATATATATATATTTTTGGCAATTTGCCAAGTCAGTTTTTCACTTTTGTTTTCACTTTAGAGCTTAGTTTGCTTTTCCTTAAGGTATTCGGGGATTTTTCTTCTCTCTCTCTCTTGTGCTTCCACTTCCAACTGCTCGCAACTGTCGCTGCTGACAAAATGCGCTGCTGCTGCTGTGACGCGTCCTTTTATAGTCCTTGCTGGCAGCATCGTTAGATTCGACGCCGTTCACTCGTTCCTCCTTCGGCACTGAACGAAGCCGAAGTACACGAACGGCTCTACAGGATACGAACTGCAGCCTCTGCTGTCACGTGCATTTTGCCGGTAAATCGCGTGTTTTTGTTTTGATTTTACTTGTATGTGTTTTTGCAACAACTGATGATGCTCCTGCTGCTGCCTCTGCTGCTGCCACTGCTGCTTTCGCTTTCCTCTTGCCGCATTTTAGGCGCCAAGTATCTCCCTCTCTCTCTCTCTGTATGTGTGTGTGTGTGTGTTTGCCCTTGTAACTTGCACGTAGCTTGCGTTGAAAATTGCGCGCGTTTATTTCCCCTTGGCAATAGCTACAAATGAAGTTTACTTTACTTGTGGCTGCTGCATTTGATCAGCTTAGTCATGTACACATAAAACATACATTCACACACACACACACACACACATGCAGTTTCCCTCTGTATTCACTATGCATTTAATGGCATCAATTGCAGCCTTAGACATCTTGTTATCCTGGCATCTTGTCAAACGTCTTGAGACAAGGCAAACAACAAGGAATTTCACTTAACAAGCTTAATCAATAAATTTAAGCTCGTTGCACGAGATTTGCATCCAGATTGTGTTCAATGAGCGTTAATACACAAACATTGCACGAGCAGGCATTTCAATTTGTATTCAATTTGGATAGTTTTAAAAGCACATTTCAGCTTAGCAAACAGATCAAATTAGCTTAAAGCTCATTTATATCATTAGAGCTTAGCATATCTTAGTTCAATGGAATGCAAGTTTCTCTATAAACAGCTTGAAAAACTAAAATTAAAATCAATTGAGAAAAGCTGCTAAAAGTTTGGTTGACTCTTTTAAGTGAACTCTGATAAACGAAAAATTCAGCATTAGCTAATTTGGGAAAAACAATGTATTTAAACTGATGCCTTTAACATTTATACCTTAGAAACATATTAAATCGAGCTGATTATGGCTTTTTCAAGCTCTTTTTCAGCAAAAAACATTTTGATTTCTCATACCAAAAGCAAAAGGTGTGCGAAATAAGTTACTGGGACAAACACTTAAAACATTATATTTTCCACAAAAAAACAATTTTTTGTTATCCCTTATTCAATCAAATCTAATAAAACAATTTAAGAACCTTGAACAAATTTGGATATCTTATCAAGCAACTGTAAGCTTTAGCAAATAAAAGTACATAGAAGAACTTCCTGCTTTCATATATTTTTATGATATTCTATATTTCCTATTATCAGTCCCTGAATATACTTCATGATATATTATATTTTACTAATAAATCTCTGTAATACCTAAAGACGCTTTCGGCTTCATTCTAACCTAAAGCTTGAAGCTCACTGGCGAGCTTCTAAGTTCGCTCTAATTGTTATCCGCCCACGATAAATGCAATATTTACCGCCTTTTCAATTACGCCCATTACGATCCGGCGGAACGCAACGCACATTAATCTGTGCTGGCTGCGCCACGCCCAAAAGTAGGCAATGAAGTGTGTGCTCAGGCCCAGAAGGACGCCGAAAGATTTGCGGTGATTGAAGCACTTGCATTGCGGTCACCAACAAAACGAGAGTGCCTGCGGACTTGACAGACATCCTTGGCCACTAATTACGTAAATGAATTTCCGGGTTTTGCCTCGATTCGCCCTGGCGGCCTCTGTTCGTGATAAATGTTTGTCTCGCTCTGGACACGTTTTAGCCAGGGGCAGGAGCTGTGGGAGGGGAGCTGGCGGCGATGGCAAAACAGGACAACAATTGAATGCCGTATACAATGCTGTCTGGTCTCAAAGCCATCAGCCTCTGCCACTTGCCACTTGCCACTTGCTGCTTGCTGCTTGCTGCATTGCAAAATTTGCTGAAATGCGAAATGCGCTCAACTCAAGTCAAGTGGAAAATGAAAGCTGATGTTGTTGCTATAACAATTGACAACTATTGTTGTTGTTGTTGTTGTTGTTGTTGTTGCTGCTGCTGCTATCGTTGTGCATTTGTGCCTGGCTGCAAATACTGTAAATTCAATTGTGCCGCATTATCTGTATAATTTGTTGCATACTCCACATTTTTGTTGCCAGCTGCTACGGAATACATTTTCCTCTCGTTCTGCTTCACTGCGTCCAAGCTGCAAGCTGTCTCTCTCCCTCCCTCCCACTCTCCCGCTCTCTTTCTATCTTTGTTTTTACATGCTGCCTCTTGTCTGCTTCAACAAATAAATTCAATTTGCCAACAAATCACAAAATCTTGCAACAAACTGCTGCCAATAAGCCAAAAATTTATCAACCTAATAATTGTTATTGTCAAGCTTTTGGGTCAAATAAAATGATTATCATTATTATTATTATTATTATTATAGTTATTTTTGCATGTGTCTCGCTTGTACCACAACTTGCTGCCACATGCTGCAGCTGCATCTTCCCTGACAATCTAATTATTTACTTTTGTCGAACGAGCAGCTGCACTTTGCATATTGACACGCTCAGCCAAGAGCTAAAAGGCTTTAAGCCAATTTCACAAATGCAATGCCAATCAATCAATTTAGAGCACTTAACTTGGCCTTTTAGCAGGTAAAGACGGCATTATTAATATTTAATAATAGATGTTCAGATAATTGAAATTGAAATTCAGGATTTTCCATGGAAAATGGAAATATGGCATTTAATTATTTTCTGAAAATTATATTTAAACGGCAGGAATAGGCGTGAAAGAGGATATTTAGATATAGACATATCCTATATAAATATTTAAAATGTCCTCTGTTCAGAAAATCTATGTAACTCGTCATATAAGACTCACCTATCTTATCTATTGCCACTACTAATGCATTCAAAAATATTCTTCTCATGCCTAATTACATTCTTTTCATAAATCTTATCAACCGCATAGCAATTATATTTTCCTTTAACCCCGATTCTACACTATCTCAAGGAAATTTCATTTATTTCAAGTGGCTCGGCGATAAGAGTACAGAATGATTAGTGCCTTTTGCACTGTAATGACGCTGCCTGAGCTTGGAGCGTGCGCGTGGGCGTGGCAAGCCAAAATAGATTGCTTTGGGCATTTCGAAATCGAATCGGAATAGCTTTTAGCCTCGAATCACTTGCAATGCGCAGCAATCGTATAATTAAATCAATTGCAGACCGAAGAGCAAAGACAAAACTGAAAAGGGGGCGGAGTCGAAGGGGCGGCGGAGGCGGTTCGCCTGCGAGATAAGCAAAAGTTGCATGCAGCAGGGCAGCAAGGCAGCAAGAATCCTGTCGTGTCATGCAATTATCGAGTTTTAATGAAATTTCACGCACAGTCATACAAATCCATTAAAAAGACAAAACCAAAGAAAAAAGAAAAGGAAAAAAACTCTAGCAAATAAGGAAAATAAAATATCTAATGGTCAGTTGTTTGGCGGGAATCTCTAATTACCCAAGACACTGCCATAGTTAATTGCATTGCCAATGATGCGGCAAAAATGATTTGTTGCGACAAGCAAACATGCCACGCCCCCCCTAAAAAGAAGCCATTAAGTCATTAAGGATGCTCGAATAGTGATTAAAATTGTGTGAAAGGAATTTAATCAACTGGCAGTTAAATAACTGTCTTGGCCAAATTGAATAGTACAAATTGTCGGGCCAGCTTTGCCGTTAGCCTAATTAGGCCATATTCGCATTGAATTGCAAATGACATTAGAAAATTTGCAAGTAAAAGTTTATAGCCAACTCGAGAATGAATCTGTGGGCGTGCGAGCGAATGTGTGTGTGTGTGTGTGTATGTGTGAGTGTGTGGCTCTTAACGAGTTTCCAACTCTCAGTCGCAGTCGCAGTCGCAGTCGCAACTTGTGTGCGCTGTGTAAATTAAATAAAACATTAATTGCTTGCTTACGTCACGTAATTTGCCCAGGCCACAGTCGCCAAAACCAAACCAGCATTCGAGCCAGCATTCGAGCCACATTCGAGCCAACATTCGAGCCACATGCGAGCTCCCCGAGCAATACATGGCCAAGGCAATGCGACACGTACTGCCAATAAATCTCAATTGATCCCCGCGGTGTTGTTGCAAAAGTTCAATTAAAAGTCTCCCCGTGGCATGCCTCACTGTGGCCAGCATCGTAACACACACACACACAGAGAGACACCCGCAGACACAACGACACTCACACACGCTGGCACACTCAACTGTTGCCCCAACGGCAAATGGCTGCAAATATGCTAAGTGGTCAAATGTGCACACACTATTTGCATGCACTGTGTACCACATGTTCCATGTCCATGTCCAGTGTCCAGAGGGAGCAGCTGAAGACAGGAAGGACATCGGATAGCCCAGCCCTGCACTAGAGTCAAATGCTCTACCTCATTATCATCTGTTATTCCACCTACTTTCACTACTACCACAGCCTCTCCCACTGCCACTGCCAGTCCCCACTCTCTACTCGCCACTCCTACTCCCATTATATTTCCAGTTGAGCTGAATTGTTGGCCAACAAAAAGTGTTGCACAGTTATTAGCGCGCCATTCAAGTTTATTGGGCCGCTTGCAGTTCTAATTAAAGTCAAGGCAATAAAGGATAGCATTTGTTCCTAATGATACGAGCTGAAGTTTGAGCTCTAATTTAATTAGAGTTTCTGCCAATTAATCAAGTTTTGAACTGAGCTTAAATTATGTTTTATAGTTGAAGCTAATGAACTTTTTTTTTAAATTGTTTCGAAGAGGTTTTTCTTTTAGCTGTTCGAGATTTGAAACTTTAAAGCGCATTTAAGCTTTAAAATTTTGTATTAATATTAATATATTGATTTATTTGTTAATTTGTTAAAATAAAAAAAAAATAAAATTTTTTATAAGTGTTTTTATGAATTCAAAAATAAAATCAAAGGTTTTTCACAGCTTTAAACTTCTTAATAAATTCATAAAAGCTTTGCTCATTTCTAACCGCTTTGCAACACTGGTATTTTTCTGCCTTAATCCCTTTCAGCTTATGTCATTGAAATTTAATTGAATGTTTCTGACAGAAATCAACACAATCAGCAAGAAGCCATAAACGCTCACATTTTGGCTGCCCAATGGTTATGACAACGAGTCCATCTAACAGACCAGCAGAAATTTGCCATTTCACAAGAATGTATGCGTGTGTGCGAGTGTGTGTGTGTGTGTGGATAAGCGGGCAGCAAGTGCAAATAATATTATGCTTAACTGCACGCACGCACACATGTGCCTTGCTGTACAGGACTACTACTACAGGACTCGACATGTCCACAGGGCACAGGCGAGTCCAAGCGGGTCGAGAGTGTAGTGTGTGCATGCCACCGGAAGCAGCTAAGGACAACACGCACAACTTTGCTTGGCCAAACAGCATTAAGGAACCGCACGTACGCACACAGGACGACAGTCCAGCAGCAGCAGCAGCAGCAGCAGCAATATGTGCCTGTATGTGTGTCTATGTGCGTGCGTGTGTTTGTAATTGTAATAACTGTTGTTCCGTATCGTTGTCGTAAGCTGGCTTGTTTGCCACTGTAATTGCCCCGACTACTTTCCGTAAATCCTGATCCTGGCCGTGGCGCTGCCATTGACAAGTTCAATAATGGCCATCGACCGCAACATCTGGTTTAGTTAGCCAGCCTGGCCTGGACTGGCCTCGGCTGGACTGGCCTGTCTGCCAGCCTACTTGGCATTTGGTTTCAGTTTCAGTTGCAGGTATACAACGACAGCAGCAGGAGAAGCAGGAGCAGCAGCAGTTAGCCAACCGAGCGCCTAATTGAATAGCCGGTCCACAGGATGGCGGCAACAGTGAAACATTAACTGACATTTGAGCCAGCACTAATCTGCATAGAATTTGCAACTTGGCAGCCTGTGCCGAGAACTTACTTATCGCAGGACATTCAGCCGCAGATGGAGACACACACTCCACATTCTCACACACGTACACACACACACAGTCTTACTCACACCCATTAATATGCTGTTGGCGCACATGTGCAAAGCGCCGGCTGCCAAACCCTTATCATGCGCCCAGACTTTGGACGCCCTTTTCTGCTTTGCATGCATATCCTGGCCCATTCTGCCAGCTAGCTAACTGCATTTATTTAGCATAATTTGTTGCCTTGTTGTTTTTTCTCTCTCTTTATCTTTACTTTCTTAACTGTTGTCGGGGATGCTGCAAGGCTGGCATCCAGGCATCCTGGCAGTCAAGCATCAAGTGCTCAAGTTGCGCAGTCAGTGGAGACCAAAGACTTTGTCTAGCTTCAAGTTTTATTGGCCTTTTATTATTGAATATTAAAGTAAACATTTGGTTTTACTTTCAATTTTAGTTGTAGTGATCTTATGTGAAAAAAATGGCACCGTTTAATATTCTTTAAAATAATTAATTTTAAAAAGAGTATCAAAAATGTAAATTATGCGTACATACATACATACACACATAAAATAAAAATTAACAGTTAAAATTAAGCTTTACAGCACTCACTTGCTCTCCTTCCATTCTCTCTCTCTCTCTCTCTCTCCGGCTCTCTTCCTCGTTGCCTGTAATTGCTACATTTTGCTAGCATGCAACTTTACAAATTATAGCATGTAACTCAAACGAAGAACAAAATTTAATAAACACTTTAAAGAGCAAACACGGCTTCAACTGTTTTATGTTTTACACTGATTGCTAGATTTAACTTTCTTTAACACATAAATATATTACACACGTGCATACACGTACACACACAACCGATCATTGAGAGAAACACACACTAACTAAATGATCAAATTATGCTCATGAGCTTGCTTACTCCCCGTTAATCCAGCAAGTTCACTAATACCAACAGACACAGCTACTTAGCTATTGAGAACACACAATCAGCGCTGCACTCACATCAGGCTCAATTTGAGTTGATCTTAGTTCAACGACCAATAGCATTAAAACAGTCGCTGAATGTACGCTCTTGAGTGAATTTGTGTAGCGGCTGCACTCTTCAATCAGCAAGGGCAGGTTGAGCTTTGCCATTTTTTTTTTAAATAATTATATCATAAAAATATTAAGTGATATATTTAAATTTTTAAAAATATAATAGTTTTTGTTTCCACGGAAAACCGAAAACACATTTATATAAATTTGCTTAATACAAATTGAATTTGGCGCAAAAATGTGTCGTGTTTTACAGCACTGCACAATACTGGTCAATAGTGACATCAGCTGCGAAACAGCTGTTTTCTTTCTTTTGCAGCTGATATGAAAAATGTGAGCAAAGTTTGTTTACAAGTTTAATGTGGAGTTTGAAATTGTGTATTAATTAGTTTAACTATTATGGTAAGTTGTATTTTAAGTGTATTTAAGCCAATTGCTTACTGAAAATTATATATTTACAGAATTTGGACACAATTTTCCCCGATTTGAGTGCCTTAAAACGCGCCTTGGCCAAATTAGTTCACAAGGATTTATCAAATAGTTGTGTATATAAACATATATTATGTATTTATAGTTAATATTACTTACCATTTGCAGATGAACGTTTGCGACACATCGAGCCGCATTTTGACTCATCTTGCGACGTTTTTTATTGGAGCGCCCAAAATGTGGAGCAACAAAATTCCGTTGCTTATTTGCCCATGGAGCACGCTAAGGATCTGGACTTTGAGCTGATTAGACGAGTGCAGGAGAAGCTATCGAACTATATCCTTATAGTTGCCATAGTGGAAAATACGGGCAATATATTGTATTATCAGATGACGGAGGGATTGAACGAGATTGGCATATAAATGATTGAGAGATTATATGGATATGCGTGGAACTGTGTAATCGATGGAACTGATCTTATGCTGCTCCTCGATCGTACCATCGGAGCACAGGCAAATGCTATTGGACTATATGTCCCACTTCCATGTATTGTCGAGGGGCAACAAAATGTCTTAAGAGATGACAGCAACACCTGTGGAATTTGATCCTATCCATTGTTCCTACGCTTCGTGGACCGTTTTTAAAGAGATCCAATTAGATGAAGACCACTTGACCACTAGATTGTAAATGCGATTGATATTATCAATATAGACAAATAAACAGCTATAGAGCTCCGCAATCCCCTATTGCTTTCCTTTACTCTTGATACCTGTGATCCAAAACACAACTAACTAAAACAGAATACGGTATATAAAGAATATATATAAATATATCAAATCATACCTTAACTTTCAAAGCCCTCATAAATTAGAAACTCAATAATCGTAATATAATTATATTGACATTATAGATATATATTTATATAACTTAGGCACTAAAATTCAAATAATCGAATGCTACAAACTTAGAGACAAATTAAAAATTAAATTTTCTTTAATTATAGGCATAGGTATTTATATATATGATTTTATATATATATATATATAGATAGCTTAAGTTTATTTAACAATCGGATTGCATGCAATTGAGAAAATCATTTTGCATAACTTGGAAAAGTTCTCAAATGCTTTTTAGCTGCTGATCTATTTCTTTTTAATGTTGTAATTCTTTATATAGATATTTTTTAAAGCGTGCACCGCAAATAATTAAAAAAATGATAAATGAAATTTAAAAAGATATCTTTTAAAATGCTCAAAGCAATACAGTTTTTATGTTTTTTGTATCGTTTTTTTGTTTAGGTTTTTTTTTTTTTTTTTTTTTTTTTTTTTTTTTTAAAGTACAATAATAAATAACAAATGTATAAGCATGTAAATATGTATATAATTAAATATATAAAATTAAAATAATATATATTTATTACTCAACTCGGGCAATGGGGCTGAGGAGTTGATTTGAAGGCGGCAAAAAATAATAATATACAGTTTTAAAAAATTGTAAATATTTGTTGTTTATCGATGAGCTCTTTAAATATATGTATGTGTGTGTATGTATGTATATATATATATTTAATAAGATATAATATTTGTATTATGACTTGCTTTTCATTTTGTTCAACATTTTTAATGTGATTTGTATGTTTCATATGAAAATAGGTGTGTGTGTGTGTGTGTGTGTGTATCTGCTCACGCTTGTAAATAGCTGTGTGGGTATATGTATGTATATATATAACGCTCTCTCTTACTTCTTTATTTTATCTCTCGCTCTGTCTCAACTAACATCTATATATAAAATATAGAACCTGGCGCTCTAAAATTTCTCTTGTTTTAAATACAAATCTTTTCAAAAATTTACATCATCCTTAAGGCTTTCCAAGTGCTTGTCCAGACTAAGTATATTCATACATATATATGTAAACCATATAAGTATATCTGTATATAATATGATTGTATATATGTATATGTTTATGATTGATGCAGGTGTTTACAATTTATGTAGAATATTCTAGGCAAATTTGGTCAATGCTTCTGAGCAAAAATCATGCACAAGTTTCTCACAATTTATACATATATATATGGGTGTATATATGTATATATAGAAATGTATATAATATATTCAATCGTTTCTCATGTGTAAAAGCATTTTGTTTTCTTGTTTTCAACTTATTTAACTGAGCTAGGCCCAGGGCCAAATTTAAGACTAAATGTAGTTGGGTTGGAGGTTGGCTTTAACACCAGTCGGCCGTGTATGAAAAGTCCTGGAATAGCAATTGTTCCTCATCGGTCAAGTGTCGCGGCTCCTTTGGCGGCGTCAGCTGCGCCTTCTCCGACGTGAATTCCTCATCAAAGTTCGAGACATCTTCCAAATGGTTCTGCATGGATAAAATTTATATAAATATTGTTTGTCTTTTTGGGATTCCTAATTTAATCATAATCTTACGATGGTTGGCACAAACGGTGGCTTGACTTTGCGCAGCAGCAGATCATCCCAAACAATGGAGCGGAAGAACGCTTGCTTCTTGACATCCTCAGCATCGCGCTCGGATGAGCCCAGACGTCGTTCCGGATTCTTGCGCAGCAGCTACAGGCATATGGTATATTAACTCAGTGATCTTTCTTCAATTTCAATTTCAGCCAACTCACCCGTCGCATAACGGCAATGGCCTCCAGTGAGAGGAAGCGCGGATAGCGCACCTCATCGTTAACAATTGAGTCGAAGACCTCCTCCTCATCGTCGCCAGGGAAAGGAGACTGCAAATTCGCAATATTAAAAAAACATTTCAAATAAACTTTCACTCTCTCTCTGTGTCATTCTCACCTCTCCAACGAGCATCTCAAATATGAGCACACCCAATCCCCACCAGTCGACAGCGCGTGTATAGGACGTCTCTGTCAGCACCTCGGGTGCCAGAAATTCTGGTGTGCCACAGAAGGTGCCCGTGCGATCGCCAAAGCCCATGCCCTCCTTGCACAGCCCAAAGTCGGCGATCTTCACATAGCCGTCCGTATCGAGCAGCAAATTGTCCAGCTTCAGATCACGATAGATGATCTTATTCTCGTGCAGATACTGCAGACCCAGCACCACACAGGCGGCATAGAACACGGCGCGCGGCTCCAGGAACACATCCGTATGGATGTGCATCATCAGATCACCGCCGGCGGCGTATTCCATGACAAAGCACACGTGTTGCTGCAATGAATTAAGAATTTAGTTTAATTTATTAATTAAGAATGCCTAATTTAATATATATTTATTAGCAGATATGCCGCTTTACATATAAAAATTATAAAAAAAAAAAAAAAACTATTACTAATTAGTTAAAAAAAATTACGAAATAAACTAAAAGTAATTACTGAATTAATGAACTATTACTTAAGTAATTACCAATTAAAACTTAAAATTAATTCATTAATTTTGTGGTAAATTTAAAATAGTAAAAATTATTAATATTTAATATGGGAAATTGTATTAATATAATAATAAATATAAATATAATAATAATAATATATATAAAAATAATTATAAATAAAAATATATGTGATAATAATAATAAATAATAATATAAATATTTTAAGTAAAAGAAATAAATTATTATAAATAGAAATTAATTTTAATTATTAAAAAACAATATTAAAATTATAAAAAACTAAAAAAAGAATTATTATATAGAAAATATAAGAATTAATTACGAATACAAATTCTTCTAATTATGGTAATTACTAATTATGGTAATTAATAATACACATTGTAGAAGAATTTGCATTCGTAATTAATTCTTATATTTTCTATATTTATATATACTATATATTATAAAGATTGAATATAATAATATAATTAATTCAACTTTAATTACAATGAACTTATCATATATTCCGTTATACTTACTTACTTACTTTATATATAAGTTAAAAATATATACTAAAATTATTGATTTAGCATTGTAATCAATAATTATCTCGACACTCACCTCCGTTTGGAAGCACGCATATAAATTGACTAAGAACGGATGATGCATCGCATTGGCCACCTCAAAGATGCGCTTCTCGCTGAGCAGCGACTCCACCTCGTCCCTGGCAATGATGTCGCCCTTCTTCAGGGCCTTGATCGCATAGTACTGATTGTTGCTGCGCAGCTGCGACAATATCACCTTGCCGAAGTGTCCGCGTCCGAGCACGCTCAGCAGCCGGAAGTTGTCGATGGACAGCATGCCGGGATTGGGTGGTGGCTGTGTGGCACGCAGCGCCTCGTAGCCAGCCGGCTCACGGTACTGCAAGCCACGTGCCACATTTCGTCGGCCTCCGCTGCTGGCGGCTGCGCCCGCTGTCGTCGCCTTGGCCACATTCAGCTCATATTGATTGGCATAGATCGGCTGCTGCTGCTGTTGCTGTTGCTGCTGTTGCTGCTGCTGCTTGTCCTGTGTTTGTCGCTGCGTCGGCTGCGGGAATTGTGGTGCAGCAGTGGTGCTATTGCCATAAATTGTGGGCGTCGGTGGCTCCTGTATGATGGGCGATGATTGCACCGCATAGGGCAACTGCGGCTGCTGCTGAGTGCCCACATAGAGCTTGCCTAGCTGCGGTATGACCTAAGTTATGTAACAAAAAATTAAGATTAATATTGAACTCGAATTGGTTATTAAACTAAGTTAGTTGTGCAACTGAAAAGCTCTGAATATTGGCAGTGTATATAGAGTTTATATATATATATTATAGTATATAGTATATATGTGTGTATTTATGCGCGTTCAAGCTTTACCTCATCGAGCTCTTGAACAGACTCTACATTAGTTATTAAAACACTCTCGATGGCTGCCTGCTCTATAAGGCTGCTGTTGTTGTTGTTGTTGTTGTTGTTGTTGTTGTTGTTGCTGTTACTGTTGCTGTTGCTGCTGGGTATTGCAGCTGTCTCAATGGGTTCGAAGGTTATATGTACAACATTGATCTTGGCCTGCAAGAGTTTATTAAATGGTTTTTTCTTTTCTTCTGGGGACAGAGCAAACATGAACTACACAAAACACATACAGGTGCAGAGGTTGCTGCTGTTGCTGTTGCTGTTGCTGTTAGCAGCAGCTGTTGCAACGGCCTGGTCAAGGCAAATTGATGAAATTGATGTGAATGTAAAAGTTGTTGTTGCTGCTGCTGCTTTTGCTGATGTTGCAGTGCGCACAGCTGCCGCACCATCTGCGCCAATGCCTGAAATGTGGGCACAATCATTGCGCTGTTGCTGCTGCTGCTGCTGCTGGCGCTTGCAACATGACGGACAACAACTAATTCGCTTGGCCAAGAAACAAAACTGAGTGCCAAAGTCAAGACCAGAGAGGCCAAAGCAATTCATTTTCTATGTTTTTTGGATGTCTATTTGCCATGGGTTGCGAAATGTGACCATATAGCACAGATATATGTATATATTGTATATATATAAATGGCTATATATACGAGTTTGCAACGTGAATTGCTTTTAAAAATAATGGACAAAAAGGCAAAGACAAACGTACAAATACGCTTAGCTGCAACTGAGTGAGTGTATGTGTGTGTGGGGGTGTGTGTGTATGTAAGGGTGTATTTCCATGTATGTGGACAACACTTAAGACAGAAACCAAAACATATACAGGGTGACCGCCAGGCACTTAAGTTAAAAAGAAATTTTCTGGCACGTGAAACGTTTCGCGTTTTAATGTTCCAATTTTCCGCCTTTTCAATAGAAACTTTTTGCTATTTTTAAGCTGTTTCATTTTGCACACGCTATTTGTATATTGTCACACAAATATATATATGTAATTATATAAATATAAAATAGCTATATTTGCAAGGTATATTTAATAAATGAGACAATATGTCTAGCAAATACTCATCTATATAAAATTATAAATTATCTTTTTTTTTTTATATATAATAAATTATCTATTTTTTTTGTTTTTTCGTAAATGTGTTTACAGGGTATCTGCTAAACACATGCGAGAAATTCTAGAAAAATAATTGCTTGTCATAGGGGCTCTCTAATTAGAATTTACGATATCTAGCTCATGAAATTGCTTTAAATATTTATAATTATATAATATATATGCATGTATGTATATATTTTTTTAAATATCTTAATAATATGCATTTATATGCGCAATTTCAAATTTTCTCTCATCTACAAACATCACAGGGTATCTGACATTCGTATATAAAATATTCTCATTTACTTCTAACGCAAATTGCAAAGCTTTCATCAAACATTTCCATTCGCTGCCAGAAAACATCTAATATAAGACTCATTCAATTATAAGTGTATAATGACAGTTTTCTTGTTAACATTGCATTAAGTAGAAGATTTTTGCGTGAATATGTAAACGATGTTTGTATAAGACTCATAAATATTATAAGTTTTCATCTAACATTTTCAATATCAGTCAAAGTAGCTGAAGTATGAGAGTTTTGTAAAATACAAAAACTCTTCAGCTGTCAAAATTAAAATTAATATATCATAGGTGTACCTTAACACTTTTAAACAATATTCAGAGCTTTCATTAGATTAGTTTACTTATAAAAAAAAAAAAACTTAAATAAATATAAATATAATTTAAACTACTACAGATATATTGCGCTCGTTACAGTTGCTGTTAGCTAAACTACATTGCAAGTGCTGTTAAAGTGAAATTAACTACAGAAATGTTAATTAACAGACATATATATACTGTCTGCAAACTTTAAGAGCAACTACATGAGCAAGTGCTGTTAATATACATTCCAATAGCTGTGTTTGTTGCGTGCCTGTTAAGTGCATAGCATAAGTGCTCAATGTTAAGTGAGTGAGTGCTTTTAAATGCAGTTAAGAGTTAGCATAAAGGCGAATCGTGAAAGTGATGGCGGAACAGAAACATTTTGAAGCTTTTGTAAAGCAGCTGTCAGCTAACATAGAAACACATTTACAGTAACGGAACACCAGAATAACATAAATCATGTGAAACACGTTGCGGCTGCCATTAGTAGTAGTATTTGCAACTCGATTACAACAAAATTGAAATTAATTAACGAGATCCAAACCAAAAGCCGAATAGTAAATTGTAAACAGGGTATCCAAATGATAGAAAGAAAAACCTCCTAACCTCCACACAGAAACGATCGCCGGCACTGGAACTGCATCTGGAGCCAGGCTGCAGCCCGCCGCCGTACAAATACTCATCATCATCCTCGGGATACTCAACCAGCGGCGATGACGAGGAGCAAGTGACCAGCATTGGCTGCTCCTCATCATTTGCCCCGCCGCCAACGAGCACCACCGGCGGCAGCGTCAGGACGGGACGATGCAATTGCTGCTCCACCGCCGATGGCGCAGCTGGCGACTGTCTGGCTGCTGGCTTCTCGATCGATCTCGGCTGCTGGAACTGAAACGGGTTGCGTATTGTTAAGGAGGTGAACTCAACGCTTGCGCTTAACCTCTGCTCAGCTGTAGATGGAGATGAAGCTTGAGCTGGGGCTGGAGCTGGAGCTGGGGCTGGGGCTGGGGCTTCAAGGCAAATGTTGTTGATGCTGTTGCGGTTGTTAATTTGTGTATCAGGTGTTGCTGGCGGCGACTCTTGCAGGGGCATTACGGTCTCTATCTGCATGATACGCAGCGTGGCCATGCGTTTCAGGTGCTGCTCCTGCTCCAGCTCGAACGGATCCGGTTCGAGGTGTCGCTGCTCCTTGGGCAGCGGGCGGCGCAGCGTGTTTGGATATGATTCCATTTCGGAAAGGAAGTCAAATTCATGCAATGCATCCTGCAACTGTCGGCGATTAACGGCATCATGACAGGACACACACACACACACGCGCGGACGAGAGCAGGCAAAGCGATAAGCGATAACAGCAGGCAGGAGAAACAGCGAAAGAAAATGCATGTGTGTGTGTGGGTGTTTGTTTGTGTGTGTGTGGAAGAGAGCAGAAATGGGGAATATGGATAAAACATGTGGCTATTGAAGTTAAGGTACACAGAGAAAGATGAGAGATAGAGAATATAGGAAGAAAAGGCATTCGCGAAACACAGATGTGGACGAAATGATGAAGAGAGAAGAAGATAAAAATGAAGAAAATAAGGAGAGAAAAATATATAGAGAGAAAGGAGCGGTGGGAGAGAGAGAGAAGATAGAAAGACAGACAGACAGAGAGAGAGCGTAAAGTCGAGAGGGAAGAGAGAGACGAATATACACAGAGAGGAGAGCGATTCGATGAGAAAATATGCAGAGAGAAATGAGAAGAGAGTCAGAGAGAAGACGAGAGACAGATAGATATATTCAAATAGAAAGACAGAACGACAGAGATAGATATATATGTAGAGAAAATGAAATATAAGGACAAAGAGAAAGCGAGACACAAGTAATGGGAGATAGCAGGATTTAGCTAAGCGTAAGCGGTATGCAGTATGTAAAAAGATCGCGATTGGAAAGGCAGAATGAACTAGGGCAGCTTAGATGAGACCTCAATGTAAAGAACTAGTTCAAAAGAGTCAATAACAAATTACTAAAATTTCTTACTAACTAAATTCTGCAGTGACTAGCAATACATCTACGAAAGGATGGCTGCAGCCTAGTAATTTATGTAATAAACATTCTGATACATCATAATCTGAATGTAAATATGAATTTTGGAACTAGTTCAATTTGTATACTTTTGCAACAAATTGTTCTACAAAGCCAAAGCTAAGACAACACAAATTAACTACATATCATTAAGGAACTAGCTAAATGCTTACAGTTCCGAAGAACTAGTTACTAATAGAACAAATACTTTTCATTTAAATGACTTCGTAATGATCGTGAAATGGATCAGGTAAATGCATCATCTAGTAAATATTATATAAATGGCTCAACGTCGAGTTGTTCTGTATGGAGTATTTGCTAATCAGATGATAAATATATAACTATATGTACAGTTACAAAAGAGAGAACAATATCCAAATGAACCAACACCAATGCGAACCAGACATAGACTATATAGATGTATGGGCTATGTGGGTAAATTTACAGAATGAACAGCTCTGGCAGAGGCACAACGATCAAATCAGCTACAGAGATATAACTACATATATGCATATATACATATGTATAGTTATATATGTATTTATATAGAGCAGTAGTATATATGTGTATAGGGGAAGTAGTAAATCTTTTTGCTATACAGTTGCCAAGCATTAAAGTAGTTGTTGCGCTTACCTCCTGGTCGAGCACAGGTGTCACCGACTTCAGCACAGGCGGCGGCGGTGGTGCCGTGGTGGGTGCGGCTGTGCGTCCCGGCGGCGTTTTGCCAGGCATCTGTAGGCTGAGCGAATTGGGTCTGCCGCCGGCTTGAGCTGCGCTGCTGGCACCTGGTTGCTGCGACGCCGGCGGCGGCGTCTCGGGTGGCAGCACACTGATGCCCTGCATGTGCATGGAGAGCGGACGCAGTCCACTCAACCCACTGGCTGCAGGATCCGGATATTCACCGGGCGTCTCCACATGCTCGTGCATGCCCGCATCCGGATCGTATTCCATATTCTGTGCCTGTTCGCCCGGCGAATAGGGTTCCGGTTCGACGGCCAGCGCATCGGAGGAGGGTGTGCGCGATATGGGCGACTCGGAGCCCCGCGAGGCGGCGCTGGGCAACGGCGAGGAGCCGCGTCCCACAGCCATCGAAGTTGTGGAGGCAGCCGCATTGCTGCCCGCACCCAAATGCACATGATTGGGCGCATTGCGCTTGAGCAAGCGTCCCCAGGTGGCGACATTGATGTTCATTTGCTTGGCACGCGAGATGTTCTTCGCCTGCTGCCGATTGAAGATCATGCGCTGGCGTCGCAGTTTCGGCTTCTGCGAGATCATCGGATTCAGAAACTTGACCTCGGCGAAGAGCAGGCCCTGCGGCTCCAGCTGCAGTGCCATGCCATGGCGCACATCGTCAATGAACTCCTCGAGGCGCAGCACCTTGACGGCGCACAGCGAACGCCAGTCACGCCAATAGACGCCAATCTCTAGCTCCCGGGAGCGATCTAGATCGATGGAGAAACGCTGGTCCCAGGCCTGCTGCGAGCATGGCTTCCACGAGGTCTGGCCCACCGTAATATTGTCCAGCTTGATGACAGCCATGATCTCAAACGATGTCTCATCCTTGACCGAATAGCTCTTGGAGCTGCTGCGTGACGTGACGCCCTTAACAAAGCTGCGCAAATCGCCCGGACTAGAGCTGTTGTCTTTGTCACGCCGCGAACGACCGGGCACATCCTCCAACAGATCCTGACAGCCCATCAGACGCACCTCCAGCTTGCCCGTGACGCTCGCACACCGGCCCAGCGACGACACGGACTGATACGATTTCCCGCCAAGCAGCCCGCCCGGACCCGACTGCAGCGATGTATAATGCACGGGCGCCGGCGACGTCGATTGCTGCACGATTTGCAGCTCCTGCTTGAGCAGCTGGGCGGTGGGCGAGTCAGGGGGCAACTCCTGGCGACGCAGATCCAAGGAGTAGCGCAAGAGATCAAGTTTACGCGACGATTCCGACAGACGGCCGTGTGCCTAAAAGAAGAACCAAAAACACAATTAAAGCATTGTGAAATTTATTTGAAATTTATTCGATTAAAATAAATATCCATTTTTTTTTTAGTTTTGTTGTTTTTTATTCTATTTTAAATAATTTATATATTTATTGATTACTTTGATTACACACATATACATATTAAAAAATGATTCAGCGTTTGAGGAACATTGGAAACAATATATATATATGTATTTGGCTTAAGTCTCTATTTGAGGCTGGGATTCGGATTCGGATTAATGGGCGTGGCAACTTATGCAGAGTGTTAAATGCAAGCTAAAATCAGAAAAATCAAATAAACATATAATAAATACGAAATGCGTAAATTCGAACAGAGCCGAAGTTATAAAAGACCGAGGCAAGAGAAGAGAAACTTGGATATATGAGAAGTGATCTATTATTTAGTATTATTAGTTAAGATTACCAAAGCTCATGGAAAGTGCATTAAATTTGTCCATACGTCTCTTTATGGAACTGCACTTACTATATATTTTTCAAATGACTCTCTATATGATCCTCTACTATATCAATTCTTAATCTAGATTTCTGTTCATTTTAAAAATTAATACAAAATATAATAACATGTTTTCACAAAATTCTACTACTATTTGTATAAACACATCGATATGTATCATATCAACTTCAGCTCTTACAGACGGACATTCACAACTCTCTTTCTATATCCATAACTAATCTCTCTCTCTCTCTCTCTCTCTCTCTCTCTCACACACACGCCTTCAACTCTCTGCCTTGGCCTTGCCATATTCAACATTCCCTTAAATGCTATTCTAGGGCTGCGGTCGTCTCAGAATTGGTCGCTCGCCCAAGGAGAAGGCGCGTCCGCGCATTTGGAACCGCTCGGCCATCCAGCGCTGACAGCTCTCGCAGTGGCAATTGGGATTCTTGGTGGGTCCGATGTGGTGGCCCGGTTTGCGCATTACAACCACATTGCCAAAACGCAGCGCCTTCTCCAAATGCTCGTGTGTGTAGCCGGAGACACTGGTGGACACATCGCTGGCCAGACTCGGACTATCGCGTGAGATCTCGAAACGACGTGCGGGCAGCGGCGATGCGGCCACAGTGCCAAAGGTCGTGGCCGAGGTGGTGCTGGGCGGTGCCTCGCTGCCGCAGCGCAGCACAGTGCTGGCCGTGGACAAGAGCTGAGGGGAGCTACGCTCGGACGACGGTGAGCCGGGCGCTGCCTGCACGCAGAGATTGTCGCGCGCTTCGCTCTTCCAGCGATAGCCGGGATGCAGACGCTTGAAGGGATCAATGCCATGTGCAGCGCCAGTTGCAACAACGGGCGCTGTAGCCGGCGCCGGCTGTGCTGTCGGCTCTGGGCTAGCGGGCGGACCAAAGAACTGCAGAAAACCAGGACGATTGCGTGGCACATTCGACAATTGTTGCTGCTGCTGTTGCTGCTGATGTTGCAGCTGCCTGCCTGGATAGGTATTGTAGCCCACATTGTGCTCCGAGAACGCATCCGACTCGGAGGGCAGCGTATCGCTGCGCTGAAATGAGCCACGCTGCGAGTGCACCTCTTTTATGGTCGTCAGCGGCGGGTGGGGTGAGGTGGATAGATGAGGCGGCTGTTGCTGCTGTGGTGGTTGCTGCTGCTGTTGCATGGTGTGTTGCTCCGGCGTGGAGTGTTGCCTCGCCCACAGACGCTCCATTTGACGAATGCGCACACGATCCAGCGAGTTCTCATAGTCGAAGCTATCCGACTTGGAGAGCACTGCAAATGCCGGCGCATCCACCTCATCGGTATCCTTCCACGAGGTGTCCACATAGTCGCCAGCCAGGGCGCTGGACACACTGCTGCAGGTGGCATCGCGTGGCATCGTCGAGCGCGAGGAGTTCGGATAGGCGCCGCTGCTTTGCGTCTCGTCGCTCGGCTGGCGCATATATTTCTGACGCAGTGTGGCCAACTTGGCGGCGCGCTGATCCCCAATGTGCTTGCGGAAGAGCAGCTGCTTGGACTCGCTGACCTCCTCAACGGTGCTGCACTTGGTAATCGCATGACCCAAGTTGAGTTTCTGCTGTTGTTGCTGTTGTTGCTGTTGCTTTTGCTGCTTGGCCGAGGGCTGTGGTGATCTCTGGGCCAGACGTCGCGGCAGTGCAGCGCCTGAGATGCGCTGATGTCGCAGCAGCATCTGCTCATTGTCCAGCACAGTCTGGGGCGTTGAATTGGAGTCCAGCTCGTAGAGCTTCTGGTCATTGCTGTTATCCGAATCGGAGCTGGAGGCTTCGGCATCCGCATGCTCCTCATCCTCCTCCGAGCCGGTGCAGTAGACATCAATGTGCACAGTGCGCGGCTTCTTCTCGCCCAGATTGGGCAGACGGGGCGATGTCTGTGTCGCAGCACCACTGGCCAGTGGCGGAATGCGCGACATCGATGCCGACTTGAACGTAGACGAAGGCGTGATGGGCGTGGGCGTCAGCGTGGGTGAGTAGGTTGGCTGCAATATGAGTTCAATTAATAGAATACTATAATTCCCTCTCTCTCACACACTCTCTCTCTCTCCCTCTCTGCTGCTTACCACATATGTGTTCGCCTCCTCCGCCTGCCGCCTGCTGGCAAAATCGACCAGTCCCTCGGCTGTCGCACGTCGCTGCTCGTAGGCAGGCCGACGCCTCGGACGCTCCTCCGTGTCGCTGGTCTGTGAGTAGGCATCGCGCAGCTGCTGTGCACGCACCTTGCTGTGATAGACGAAGGGCTCATTTGCAGCCGGGTCCAGCTGCTGCTGCTGCTCGTTCTGTGGCAGAAAATCGGCCACGGCAGAGACAACAATGTTACAGGTGCTGCGGCAACGTGTGCCGCACAGCTGAGCCGTAACACCGCCCGGCGTCGCCTCCGACTGCTGGTGTCGCGAGGCCTGGGGACTGCCAAAGGCCGAGTCAGCATATGTCGTGGCCGAGGAGTTGGTGCTGCGAAAGCTGGTGGCAGTCGTTGCCTGGCAGATGCATTCAATAATTAGCTCTAATCGTGGATCGATAAATTAATTTCCATCAGGCTGCTCACCTTCTCCGGCTCTGGCTCCGCTTCGTGCTCGGCTTCAGTGTGCGGCGTGCTCCACTTGTACACCACACGCATCGGCTGCAGTGGCTCCTGTGCATTGAACTCCCGCTGCACTGGCTCACCTGCACGCGCGAATGTCAATTGGGCACGCACCGTCCACTCGGCGGTCAGCTCATGAGGCAACGGAGGCAGCGGCGGCTTAGGGGTAGCCTGTTCGCCGCCATCTGCCCCACGAACGTTGCTGCTGGTGCTCATGATGCTGCGCCAGCTTTTAGGCACACATGTTTCACTTTTTGCTTCTTCACAATTTCTATATACAACACACGATCTGCACAGATACGCGGCATATAGTTTTCATAATATTTTTCTCTTATATATACATATATATAGATTTTCTTTTAAATTCAGCTAAAAATATAACACAAAAACGTTGCTCTTGATAGTTTGGCAAACAAACACCTACACGCACTCACGCACACACACAAAAATGTTGAGAGGGCGGTTTTTAAAATTGACTAGGCATAAGACTATGAGAGTTGAGTTTGACAGCTCTTAAAGTAAATCAAAGCCAATATATTCATATATTTATTTATGTATTTTATTATATATCTTTCATTTATTTTTTCTTTTAAATTTAATTTATTAAAAAAATAAGAATAATTTTATACTAATTTTGTTTACTTATTTTTTTTTTTTATTTAGTTTTTTTAAAAATATTTTTAATTTTTATATTTTTATATTTTTATTTTTGTTTATTTATTTTTTGTTTTATTTATTTATTTTATTTATTTATTTTATTTATTTTTTTATTTATTATTATTATTATTTTTTTGTTTTTTTTTTTTTTTTTATTAATTTTTTTTTTTTTTTTTTGACTAATTATTTTCAATTCGAATTTTCCAAGAATTAAGGAATATTGTAGTCGTCTTTTAAGATTTCCTTTGAACAAATTTAAATTATATTATGATCACATAATTTATAAGTTCCAATAAAAATCTAGACGCAACACGAAATATGCATAATGCATAAGGTTTAAAAATAAATAACATAGACCATTTGTAGCATGAAATTTATGGCTTCTAATAATTGGCTGCACATGACGTACATATTGCTATCTGAATCATCATGTTCTACATATGCATATATACAAAAATATATATATATTTGTTTAGTGATCAAAAGACATTGGCGGCAAGAAAAAATTGAAAAGAAATTGAAATATTCATAAATTCAGCGGGCCGAAATTATTCATGATTCTTTGATGAAACATAAAAGAATTGATTAAACCCATTTATATATTGTTTTTTTTTTTTTTTTTTTCGCTGAATTAATTAGCCAATTAATTAAGTGAAATCTATGCGTGATTTATATTATTATTTTTTGTATATTTAATATTTATAAAATCGTTTACTATCGTTTTGTTATAGCTTAAATTCAATAATTTCGAATTAATTCTTTTGAAACCACCCTCGTTATGGGTCCGATTTATATTGTTAACGTTTGATTATAATCTTAATAATCTTTTCTATTTTTCTTGTTTTATTATTTATTTATAGCCACGCACAAAAACACTTTCGTTTTATATAGTTTATATATATGCATATATATGTGTATGTGCATGTGTATGTATTTTGTTGTTTGTTCACTTGGCATGTAAAATTGTGTTTCTAATTTTATGTGCATTTATTTATAAATTCTCGTTTATTGTTGTTGTAAAATACTAAAAATCGCAAGATGACCCCAAAAGCCAAATTGAGAAAAGCCACGCACCAAAATAAAATTGCAGCACGAAAAGTTTAACCAAAAGAAGAAGCTAATAATTACGCAATTTATTTATTTTTATTTATTTATTTATTGGGCAACAACTAAAAGGAAGTTAAAAACTCGTAAGACGCTGCGTATGCGTAATGTGCTTTTTTTAATGCCTGGAATTCAATAGATGTTTGTCTCACTCTTTATCCCTATCTCGCTTTATAGTTTATGCGACATTTATTTTTTTTTTTAATTGCTTATGCAGCAGACTTTAATTAAAACCCGCAGCAGCAGTCCAATGTAATTAAAAATTATTGATATACTTTAAAAAAAAAAATAAAATAAAATAGGAAATATAAAGCAAACGGACACGCGCGGCAAAACGAAAAGGAAAAGGAAAGAAAACGCGCACGTAGCCTAAGCGGCAACTGAACTCAAACTGAAATGCGTGAAAATTCGCTAGAGAAACAATTTTTCCGCTGGTTGAAAACGTGCAGCGCGCACACAAACCGAATTTTTGGCTGCGCTCTTTTCACACACACACACACACACACACACAGATATGTGTATATATATCTTAGAAACTCTATATATGTGCTTCTATGTATGCGTTTAGCATAGTTCTATTAATGTTTAGCAAACACAACAGCGTGCAAAGGGCATTTGGCTCCTCGGCTTTTTGTTTATCGCAGCAACATCTGTCGCCCCACTTGTCGCTAGAGTCTAAGCAACCCTCCTGCTAGCCCAGCTATAGCCCTTGCTAGCAACTGTTTATGTCGAGAGAAACAACAACTAAAACTGCAGTTGGAATTTTGAAAAATCTATGCCAAGCATCCACCCGCACTCGTTCGTTCCTTCATTTTAAAACAAATAAATATGAACTGCAAATAGAAAAGCGAACCAACCACACGTCAGATCCAGGCACGATCTATTCTTCTTTTGGTTGGCGGTAGGGGATGCTGCCCCCCTTCCAGTGGAGTCATTGAAAAGCATATAAATGCGTATATATATAGAGAAGGAGAGGGAGAGAGGGAGAGACACAACCGCAGCAGCAGCTAAACATATAAATCAACAGCATGGAGCAGGCATTCATTTGTCCAAGCAACAGGAAGTCGGAAATATTGTGAAATTAGTGGGATGACAAGAGAAATTAAGCGATCAGTGACGAAGCTTGAATACGCTTTGGTAGAGTACCTAAGAAGAACTGACAAACAGAAACTCTTCTCTTTTAAATAATTGATTTGAGTCAGATGATAAATTGCTTGAGTCAGTTAATGACTGCAATGATCGATAGCTGAATGATTTTGTTCTCGTGAAGAGATTTTGAGAAACGAACATTATATAAGATTAAGGAATAAATTATACACATATCGAGATTATACTCATATCAAAATAATTCGCATATCAAGATTTTACTCATATTTAACTTTGATTTATATAATATCTAAGATTTATGGAAATGCAATACTAGAGACTAAACTGTATACCAAAATGATAACATATATTAAAAGCACATATCAATAATCAAGAAATCAATGAACCCCATACTTCAATTTGCTTACATTGCATTATGGATCCATATAAAATCGAACAAGATATAAATAACAATAAAATATTTGCTAAGCAACATTATTTTCATATTCCATTCATTTCAGCCAAATCTTATTTCCATCATGTTCCCATATTCTCTTCTTTCGTCAAACCCCCTCTACAAACCCATATACCCCACATTAAGGCACTTCGGCCCATAGGGCCTTCTGGTGTCCCTGGCCAATTGTCATTTGTGAAATGCTGTGCATATTTTCGGGCATATTTTGCAAGCCAGCTCGCCAGTAAATTAATGAGGCGACAGTTAGCATTAAAAATATACATAAAATGAAAAACAACGAGAGAGCAGGGAAAAAATTGAAATATTTTCAACAGCCGCGTAATTAGCCTCGTTTTTTCTTTTTGTTTCTTTCTTTTCATATTTCGTTTTACTTGGTTGCTGCGCAGCATTGTCTTCAGGCACACAGCGCGTATACGCAACGCATGTGCACATGAATCATACGCCGTGTGGCACACGCCACACATACTGTTATGATTTCTCTCTCTCTCTCTCTATCTCTCTCTTTGTCTCACTCTCGCACTTTGTTACAAACAAGGGGCAGGGGCCTTACGATTTGGCCCGCCCGTTTACGCGCGCATTTGCATTTCGCTTACCTGGCCAACGGCCAGCTCTAAGAATTTAGGCTAATCTAATTAACACTAAGTAGGTAAAGCATAAAGTACGAATAATAAAATAAATTAAAAGCCGCCCACTCACCTCCTGCAGCGCCTTCTTGTCTGGCGCACGATTCGTCTGCAGCGTGCGTATGACATTCTTGGCTCCATCCACAACAGCCGCCTCGATGCGCAGCCGATGACGCAACTCCTCGATGCGCTCCTCCAGCGTCGTCTCCAGGCTCTGGGGCTGCATGCAGCCAATGCCGCTGCCAGAGCCCATGCCCGCTATCAGAGCGCCATGCTCGTCGGTCAGCTGGCGCGCGGCCTTCAGGCGATCGGCCTGCTCGCGATTCTGTTTGACTTTGATGATGCGCAAGCGCAAGAACTCAATCTTGGCCTTGGAGTCCGCCAGCATCTGGTGTGCCTCGGCGAGCAGTTTCTTGTCGCAGCCAATGCCCAGCGATTGGATCATATTCTCGGCGCCCGTTTTCACCTTCATCTCGATCTGCAGCTGCTTCTCCAGCGAGGCAAGCACCTTGTCATTGGCCGTAGCCGGTGCACCGCCGCCAGCCATTGCATTGTTCATGCCCAAGCCGCCGACAGCGCCCGACAGCTGGGCAGGGCCGTTGCCATCAAGGCTGAAGGCAATCGATTCTGTAAACAAGATGGGAAATTCATATTTAATGCATTTTATAGACTCTTTTTACTTGAATGTGCAGTAGAGTATAAAAACACAATAGTATATACCCTAAAAAGTGGCATGGAATGGGGTAGATGGGTTGTTCATATAATTTGTAAGTGTGCAGAGAAATTTTGTATAATATTTTGTCACTTATTTCTGATTAGTCAATGCTTATAAGGGCTGATATTATGTCTTGGTTAAATCAATATAGACTAGATAGCATATAGAGTATGTGTAATCATCGAATGCTTAAACCCATATGAGAATATATACCCTGTAAATGGCATAGAATAATTTACATTGACATTGAAATCCACACAAAAATAACTTTTTAGTTGATTGCCGTGTTCAACTCAATGGTTGAATATGTAAATACCCTGTAATTTATAATAAATAAGCGAATATTTATATGCAAAGTTAGTCTCATATATTTCTCATATATTTCTCTCTTATATTTAAGGAATTGATTAAAAATCTACTTGATCAAGCAAAATCAAAGAGCGCAAATTCTTTAAAAAAATATATATCTTTAGCCATAAAATTTACTTCCTAGATATATTACGAATACCTCATGTAATCTACTCTTATTTTATTCATTTTCCTTCATTCCTTTCCCTTTACAGGGTATCTGGTAGCCTCCCAATCAATTGCTTGTCACATATTAACTACAATCGCTTCACTTAGCTTTCAATAGGTGCCCTTGACATCAGTTAGCACACAGCTGGTTGCTTTGAGGAGGGAGGGAGGGAAAAGGGGGGTCTGTCAGGTCAGATCGTTTAACCTGCTGGCAACATTTAGCCACATGCTGTCAGAGGTCAGGGGTCATTCACAGTGATTAACACGCTGCAGCGACACCCACGTGCGTCCGATGATATAATTACGCTTGCATTAAGCTGTAGCAGGGCAGCAGACTGAAAGGCCAGGTGAAAGGTGTTTGCAAATGACAAAGTCACCTATAACACCTGATTAAATATGTGGAATTTAGAGCAGGAGAAAGAGAAAGGAATACATATAAATAGAACATGACATATAGCATATGCTTGGAATAGATTTATGTCGAAGAACTTTGAATGTGGCACGTTTGGCCAATAATTTACTGCTGTCTATTTAATGAAACAAAATTTTATTATGGCTAAGCTGATTAAAATAGAATTTTAATGGTCATAATAAAAGTATAAAGAAAGCTTTAAAACTTCTGTATAAATATATATAGAGAAGGAGAGAAAGAGACAGAAGGAGAAAGATGTAGAGAGGAGAGGGAGAGGGAGAGAGATAGAGGTATGCAGACATAAAGATAGATGTTTGGATAGACAGTAGACAGACCTACAATAATTATATACTTCATCTTTATATGTGAATAAATTAGCAATTTTCAATATTTGTTTTAAAGATTTTTCTTGTTTAAAACTAAACAAAATTCTTTTTTATTTTAAATTTAACAGATTTTTTGCTTCTTTTAAAATATGAAAATAAATTTTGTATTTTGTTTATCTTACACACTTGAATGATTTCTCCGATGCTTAAACATAAATTTAAAATGTTATCTAGAATTTAAGAACCTAAGAGTTCTTTGCACACATGTTCAGCTTCACTTGGCCTAAGAACTCTCTCAACAAGACTTCATCGCTAGCTAGAGCTATATAATTCCCAGCAAATTCTATCTACAGAATTCTAGCAAAACCGTATGTTAATTTAGGCTATATCACAACCGAAAAGCAAGAAACAGCTATCAAATGTTTGTTGCAATTCGCTGGCAGCTGCTGCCAAACATGTCAATCAATTGAGCAGATGGAAAGTCATGAAGCTTTCAGCAGATGCTACAGATCTTCACGATCATGATGATGATAATAATAATAAACATAATAATGATGTTGATCATCATGATGAAATATGATGATGAAATCAACTCGTGCTCGCTGATGCTGCAGATGCAGCAGCTGGTGGCCGAAGCCAAACACGGAAGCAGATAGAACTAAAGCCCCAAATGTTGAGCAGTCACATTCAGCTAAAATATAATGTATTTCATGCCACTTGTATCAATAGTTGAAAAACAACAACAACAACAGCAGCAAAGAATAACAGAGAGAGTATAAAAAGAAAAGCTAAACAAGCAAACAGTCTAGTTGGCGGGGCATGCTCGACTCGTAAATATCCTAACAATAATTTTCAAAATGTTTTAGAGAATTTTAAAAACTTTTGAAAGAGTTTTTATATATGGGAAACATTAGAACATGTTAAAATATTGAAATTTATTTAAAAACTATAAAACCTATCAACAATTAGTAAAACATTTCTAGAGCTCTAGATACACCAGAATCTCTAAACCAAATATTTCTGTTGCATCCCTGTCAATCTCTGAGACTTAAGCTCTTTATCCCACTCTCTAATACACTCTTGCCATAAATTACATCTAGCTAGAGGGTAAACCCAAACAAACTATATTAAACAATCAAAAAAAACCTGACACTAACTGAGTGTTTTGTTATAGATACCGAGCGTAAACGATAAACTCGCAAGTATTTCACGCCTGGCCATAATGTAAGAGAACACGCAAAGCGCGACATAGATAAAAATAATAAAATTATATATATAGAGAGAGAGATAGATGAATAACGAGACAGTTGCCGGGTTTGCGTGACAAGTGCTCGTAAAACGATACTTGAAGTAACATTTAACGATTTTCTTTTTACAGGCGTAGCGGTAAAATGAAAAAGAAGCTTTAACTGTTGGGAAAGTTGAGTTTTGCGTAGGTTATATAATCTAGAGTTTAGTAATCTTTATTTGTTGTTTGTTGGCTTCTCGCTTACCTTGACCATTGCTATTGACCGCCGTGTTGGCCGATGTTAGCAGTATTTGACTTTCGAGCTCCTGCAGCTCTGATTTCAGTTCGGCCAATTTACTTTTGCTCTTCTTGACCAGAACGGCAACATCGCTGAGCGAGCGACGATCCTTGGCCACCTCGCGTAACTTTTCGGCGCCCTCTTTGATCTTCAGCTCCTTGCGAATCTCACGGCGTATGGCCTCTTTGATCTCCTCGAGCCGTATGGACATACAGCTCTCGGGCAGATTCTCTGTGAAGCCATATTTATGACTGAGCTCATATAGAACTGGATGCTTTATATATTCGCCCTGTAAATATCAGAAATAAAATAATGAAGTTAGTTAGTTTTAAGCATAGATTCATGGATACATATATGTATTTGTTATTGACTTCCTACGTACACCGGCACCATTTACCGTATCTGTGTAAAACAGTCCGCCGTCGGATGACTCGAAATTCGAGACGATGCGATTCCATAATCTCGAGACACTCGCACGCCGTTTGACCGCCGACTTATGCGACAGACTGTAGTTACGCGGCAGTGTATTGCATTTGCGCGAATTCGATTCTTGACCTGAGCTAAAACTCTCATTGGAAATGCTTTTCGAGTCGCTTTGCGGCTGTGAGTATAAAATACTGCGTATTTTCTTAACCAAATTGGACATTTTTAGACAATATTCTCACACAGATTTCACTTGAATTACGAATTGAAAATGTTTCTGCGCTTCTCATGTGATGATAAATGTTGTTGCTTGTTGATGTTGTTGTTGTTGTTGTTGTCGTTTTTATATTTGTGACCAGTTCATGGTAATTAGACAACTTGTGTCGCCTCTTTCCACCACGAGCGCTGCGAGTTATCAAGAAAATGTACAATAGATTGTTCACAAACAGAGAAAGAGAGAGGAAATCACCAGAGCAACAGCAACAGCAACAGCAACAAGTTAGTGGAACACCAGGTTCTAGATTGTCATATGTCATCGTCAACGATGATATGAGAAAGTTAACACAATTGATAAAAAGATATTTCATATGCTTCTGCTGTGCTCAATTCTAAAACATTTCCGATCGGAGATAGCGGCAATTATAATGCAAATGAAAAGTTCTAATTCCAATTGCGGCGACAACTTTCACGACTTGCCATTGGGTGCACTTTCGAGTCAATTGTTGTTGTCTAATGAAAGTCTTCTGATAAATTCAAATAAAAATCAAATAATAAAACCTTGAGTTGGCTCTTTAAAAAATCAATTGAAATATCGAATGAGACTTTCTTTTAGTAATTCTAAGCTTAGATCTAAAAGCAAGAATAAATAGCTTATTTCAAGCAGAGTTCTATAAAACTAATACTACATGTAAATTCAACGTCAACAATGTTAAATAAAGAAACATAAAAAAATCTCTAGCCCGAATACTTTTACAACTTTACATAATCTAATGCCTAACCTTGGTAAACAAAATTTAACACAATATTCCCATTCCGTGACCCTCAGCAAATAAACTTATGAATTTGATAATTGATAAAGAAAAATGACTTCCATAAAACGAAACTTGAAGCTAAGCTAGCCAAAGCTCGTTTTTTTACTTTTATCTGAAATTTGCCTAAATGAGAAACTATTTTGTTTATATCATAAAACCTAAAAGTCAGACAGTTAGCACAGGCACCATAAATATGTACGCACACGTCTGTAAATGCCTGATAAAGAAACTATATACCGTATGACTGTTAAAAAACAAACGTAAATATGTATGTATATATAATATATACAGGAAGCTTAGTTTATAAACATATATAAACATATAGCTTATGTTTACTTTGGTAATATTCGTATACCCTGTGCCTATTGAAAATACAGAAACGGGGTATAATATTTTTGTTTAGGCGCATGTAAGAAGGCGTGGCTGTCACTAAGTTATATGCAATATATATTGTTAATCAGAGTAGACAATCGTCTAGCTGGGTCTATTCATATCGCCTAACTGAGCAACTTTTTGTAAGATAATGGAAATTTTATATTTACATAGGTATTCCTCGAACCCTCTAACCCTCTCTCTTTAAGCTCTATCAATTTCTGTGAATTCGATTTTATTTTGCGCACTGAATGAATTTATATATAGATTCATGCAATCGCCTCTCAAATACCTTCCTCAAGTTATCTGAATCGGAAATAATATATATTTCAACATAAACAGCCACTCATCATGTGACTCAGGGTATTTGTCAGTCGACCACACCCGTCTGGCATACTCTTGCTTTTCATTACACGTTTTTTGCTATTTTTCCTTATGCAGCCACCTTACAAAGTAAGCAAAGGCAATTGGCTTCTCTTCTCTTTTCTTTATTTATTTATTTTTTTTTTTTTTTTTTTTTTTTTTTTTGTCTATTCTATTATGTATGTAGAGAATTCCATGGAATATGTTGACTTGTTTTCCCCTTCCCCATTGAAAACACAAAAAGCGTATTACATTTGCATTAACGCAAGGCAACTGGGAGTTAAAACACTGAACTTGACTCATGCCAATTAGCCCAATAAGGCACAGCCGTTGAGCAGTTGACAGTTGGCCATAATTGTTGTTAGCCCGCATGCATATATGCATATGCATAAGAATTTCTCCAACTCTCCATAACGAATCAACAATAAAAGCAAAACTGTAGAAAGCGAAAATGTGAGACGCCGGCAAAATCACAAAAGATTTATTGGTCTCTTAATTGGAATTCGCATTGACATAATTGGAATGCATACTCATACATTTTGATTGATTGCCAGTTGAATAGCAAGAAGCAAGAAGAAGAAGCAGTGCAAACAGCGAAACAGTTGTTATACACTCTCTCGCATTGACTCTCATAATTGAAACTTAGAAAATCGAGCGCACTGCCTGGGACGTTCATAGACTGCGCAACGTTTTCTTATCGGCATTTGCTGCGGCTCTCTGATAAGACCAATCACAACACCAATAACAACTATTCAAGCAAACCGTTTGTTTATCCACACACACAAACATGCGTTATATTTTGCTTTTTATCACAAATTTATATAAAATGTTATGGAATATTCAATTTTTATATTTTTATAATTTCATTCACTATTAGAAGCATTTCCGCACTTGAGCACTTGTTGCAACCTGTTGCATACAGTTATCTATATATATTTGGTTCTTTCTATTTTTTTTTTTTTAGCTGCCCGCACGCCGCAACTCACGAACTTCGAGTGATGTTCACGTCATTTTCCCAGGTGTAATAAATGTGCCCATCGACCCGAAGCATACACGGCCCCGTCGTGGGTGGGCGAAGTCAGACGATTTATCACGAAGCTGCTTAACGATGTGACTCACGAAGCTGCCAACTGGTTTCGGCCTGGCTTTACAGCTGATAACAGCGAAAAACCAAAACCCTCCCCAACCCCATGGCCAACCACAACCAACAACAGTTACATCGTCTAGATGCCTCCATTATTATATACATATACATATATCTATGCCATTATCTGTCTATAATAAATACCTTGAATCGAATGACTTAATCACTTCAAGCATTAGGAAATCATGGAAACTAATGCTCTGCTTATGCGTAGTTTTAGAGCTCATCTATTTATAGATTAAAGCACATTAACCGGGGCAAAAACAAAGTTCATTTAACAGTTAACAGCAATTGCACCTGCCCTCACAGTTTGTTTTGTAAAACAGTTTATTTTTAAATATTTATTCATTAACAATGGGTGAACAGAGCAGAAGAAGTTGGGGCTGACTACTGAAAATACATATATAGGATACATATAAATAGGTGGATATATAGTCTGCATGTATTAATGAACATGTTCAAGGTAAGTGGGAGAATTTTAGACTTGATGTTCTATGTAAGATTCGTAGATCAAATCAATATTGGGGATTACAATGTAAACTATATTTATATGTCTATAAAACATTTTAAGTAATAATGAAATATATGAAAAAGTTAAAGTAAAATTTACTTGCATAATATCTCAACATAATTTATATCACCCTAAATATTAATTACGTCTACAATAGCCTCACAAAATCGTAAATTTTAAAATATTAAAAATTTAAAATATTAAATTCGCATTGTACTTAAATTTCGTTAAGCTAATGAATATATATGACTTTCTTTTTTTAAGTCATCTATAACTAATTGAGGCAGTCATTTATAAGCCATATAGCCTTAACGTTCATTAGGCTAACAATTGCAAAGCTCACTTTAAATTGCTTTATTTCTATTTTTTTCTTTGCATTTCAATTGCAAAAAAAACTCCTGGGAAATGTTTTACGAGCTTGTATGTGAAATTATAGCGACACGGCGCATTCTTTATAACAGCAAAGAAAAAAAACATCTTGATGATAATGGAGGCCCGCCGGGTATTGCAATTGCATAAGCAAGAGCTAAAAAAAAAACTGACACAACATACTTACGAATACTTGAATAATCAGCATAATATGCGATATAGCAACAATGAGACGCAAGAGACAAAGATAAAGAGATATATATATATAAGTTAAATATATATATATATGTATAAGGCAAGTTGCAGGCAGAGTCTATAAGGCGAGCCACATGATGATAATGATGATGATGACAGCCGCTGTCTGAGAAAGTTGCAAAAAAAAAAAAGTTGCAGGCGGGCCACATTGGAGAACCAACCAACGGCAAAGCAGCAGCGGCAGCAACAGCCGAAGGAGGTAAGGAAACCCGGGGAACGAGGGGAAGCTGCGACCATGAAGCGATGGAACGGAAATGGAAATGGAAATGAAGGCGTTGTGCCACAGAGAAAAGCCATAGCAAGAGAAGCAGCAGGAAGACGAGGAGGAGGAGGAGCAGAAGTAGAAGAAAAGGAGAGGGTGGCGAAAAGAGAGACAAAAAAGACGACATCAGTAAATGGCTAAAAATTTGTGGCTTTCTTTTGACGCAGTCTTACTGCTCGGTGTGTGTGTGTGTGTATTTGTTGTGTGTGTGTATTTGTTGTGTGTGTGTATTTGTTGTGTGTGTGGGTGAGCTGACAGCTCGAGAGAGCAAAAAAAAATAAAGAGCAGAGCACTTCTTGAGACAACAAGAGTGTGATATATGCTGAGGGGCAGAGAGGCCGCAGCAGCACAACCCACGTTTAATTAATTAAATATTTGCGCAAAGCATAATGTGAATGACTGCGGTATACCCTGTAAATGAGCGACAGCTTATGGAGGAATTGGAATATGCGAATTTAAAGGCTCCCAGACAAGATTCTAGTGCCAGATAAGTTGAGATCTATAACAAGACAGATCTATAACAAAAACCTCTGGCTTGTTAGAGATCTCAACTTATCTG